TATCCATGGTAATACATATACTACATTTTATTAATCCATTCTTGGATTGATGGGCACTTGGCTGTTTCCACAGCCTTGCAATTATGAATTGTGCTGCTATAAACATTCGAGTGCAGGTGTCTTTTTGTAGAGTGTATTGGATCTTTTGGTAGATGCCAGCAATGGGATTGCTGGATCAAATGGTAGATCACTTGTATCGCTTTAAGGTATCTCCATATTGCTTTCCACAGAGGTTGAACTAGTTTGCAGTCCCACCAGCAGTGTAGGAGTGTTCCTCTCTCTTCGCATCCACGCCAGCATTTATTGTTTGGAGACTTTTTGATAAAGGCCATTCTCACTGGAGTTAAGTGATATTCCATTTGTGTTTTGATTTGCATTCCCTGATGATTAGAGATGTTGAATATTTTTCATATGTTTGTTGCCATTCTTCTGTCTTCTTTAGAAAAGTTCTGTTCAAGTCCTTTGCCCACGTTTTAATAGGTTATTTGATTTTTTCTTGCTGATTTTGTGAGTTCTAAGTATATTCTAGTTATCAGTCCCTTATCGGATGCATAGGATGCAAAAATTTTCTCCCTTCTGTAGGTTGTCTGTTACTTTCATGACTATTTCTTGGCTTTGCAGAAGCTTTGTAGTTGATCATGTCCCATTTATTTATTTTTGTGCTGCTGTGATTGCCTTTGGGATTCTTCATAAACTCTTTGCCTAGGCCTGAGTCTAGGAGAGTGTTTCCAACTTTTTCCTTTAGAATTCTAATAGTTTCATACCTTAGGTTTAAGTCTGTTATCCAGGCGAGTTGGTTTTTGTGAGAGGTGAAAGGTGGGGTCCTGTTTTAGCCTCTTACAGGTGGCTATCCAGCTTTCCCAGCACCATTTTATGAAAAGGGATTCTTTTCCCTAGCATATGTTTTGTCTGCTTTTCAAAGATTAGATGGCTATATGAGGAGTGTTTTATATCAGGATTCTCACATCTGTTCCACTGTCAATATTCCTTTTTTGTGCCCAATATTTTATTTAGTTGGAGGGTGTTATCTTCAATCTCTGAGATTCTTTCTTCTGGTAGATCTACCCTGTTCTTGAGACTTTGCACTGTATTTTGTAGTTCCCTGAATTGATTCTTCATTTCCAGGAGTTCGGTTAAACTTTTCTTCATTGTGTCTATTTTTTTAGTGAACTTTTCTTCTAGGTCCTGGAGGCTTTTTGTGGTTTCTTTGTGTTGGTTATTGAGTTGTTGCAGGTCGGTGAGTGTTCTTATGATCCACATACAAAATTCCTCTTCTGTCATTTTGGTTGCCTGATTTGGGTTGGTGTCCGTTTCTAGGGGACTGTTGCTCCTCTTTGGCGGTGTGTTTTCCATTTGGTTCATCATATTTCCTGAGTTCCTTCGCTGATTTCTTCCCATGTCAATCAGTTGTTGTTTCTTTCCTTTAGGTTTTTGTTTGGGTATTCACACACCTTGTTTAGTGTCTGAGCCGTTAGGTGGTGTCTGTGGGTGATATTCGACCACTCCCTGTATAATGAGTCAGTGGGTGCCGTGAAAAGGCTGTGCAGGATGCCGTCCCTGTCAGTAGGTGGCGCTTGCTTGGAGGAACAGGCTATGCTGTTGTTTTTGTGTCCTGTTATCAGCTCCTGTTCTTGGCGGTGCTGGGTTAGGTAAGCCTGCCCTCAGGCACCACCAATGCCATTAGCAGGGGTCAAAGTTTTGTTCTCTGCTTCCAGGAAAAGCTGTCAGCGAGGGGCTGGAATTGTCCCGCTCAGCCAGAAAGTCTGTTTGTGGGGGTGGTGCTGTCTGAGATCTCCAGTCTGGAGCGAGCCTCGCTTCTTTCCACCCTCCCCAACTCCGCAGCTACTCCTGGGCCTCTGCCAGCAGGCCAGACCACAAGCCACCAGGCCTTCCCGGATTGTGATGCCGGCGGGGAGTTTCCCTGCGCAGGAACGCCACCTGGGCTGGGCATGTTGCCCTCTAGGATGCTGATTTGCCCCTGGAGGCACACACACCTCAGTAGGCTGTTCATGTATATCCCTTCTGTGTCCCGGGAAATGCTAGACCTTGGTGCAGGGGATCTGGCCTGCAGGTCTGACCTCTGGGTCCCAGAGTTCAAACTGTATCCCCACCAGGGATAGGAGTTCCGGTCCCAATTCACCCACAGGGAACCCAAGCTGGGTCGATGTCTCTCAGCCTCTGAGTCGGCACCGTTCTTCTGGGAACACCGTGCCAGCAGCACCTGGGAGGGCTGGCGGGTAGGGAGCTCACAGTCTGAGTTCCCCTTAGTCAGCTGTAGGGCCCCAAAAGGGAAGGTCCCATTCCCTGCCTCCGGCTGGTGGCTGTATTGTCTCTTTGGGCAGCCGCGGGTAGGGTCAGTGGAGGGGAGGAGGAGGCAATATGGTGCCTCTGCGTGGCTTGGGTCTGTGCACACAGAGGTGCCCAGAGGGAGTTGGGAGCCTGGTGCCACGTCTGCTACAGGCTCACCGCTAGCTGGCGGCCGCTGTCTCTGGGCTGGTGTCCGCAGGTCTCTCCACCCTCTGGGGAGCCCACCAGCAGTCCTGAATGCAGGGGAGGGGAAAGGGAAAATCCACCTACCCTTCCCGCTGGTCTCTGGGCTTGGCCTATTTTAAAATTGAGTTCTTTATTGTTTTATTATTGAATTTTAAGGGTTCTTTGTATAATTCTGTGTACTAGAACTTTAATGGACCTGTGTTTTACAATTTTTCCCAGTCTATTTGTTATATTTTCATTTTCATAAAAATGTATTTTGCAGAGTATACATTTTATTTTTATTTATTTATTTATTTATTTATTTATTTTGAGACAGAGTCTCGCTTTGTTGTCCAGGCTAGAGTGAGTGCCGTGGCGTCAGCCTAGCTCACAGCAACCTCAAACTCCTGGGCTCGAGTGATCCTTCTGCCTCAGCCTCCCGAGTAGCTGGGACTACAGGCATGCGCCACCATGCCCGGCTAATTTTTTATATATATATCAGTTGGCCAATTAATTTCTTTCTATTTATAGTAGAGACGGGGTCTCGCTCTTGCTCAGGCTGGTTTTGAACTCCTGACCTTGAGCAATCCGCCTGCCTCGGCCTCCCAAGAGCTAGGATTACAGGCGTGAGCCACAGCGCCCGGCCTGGAGTATACATTTTAAATTTTACTAAAGTCCAACTTAGCAATGTTCTTTCGTGGATTGTGTTTTTGGTGCAGTATCCAAAAAGCTAAACCTAAAGCACCTAGATTTTCTTCCATGTTATCTTCTATGAATTTTATAATTTTGCATTTTATATTTAGGTCTATGACTCATTTTTAGTTAATTTTTGTGAAAGGCGTAAGAACTGTGTCTAGATACTTTTTTTTGAATGTGGATCTTTCATTGTTTCAGTACAATTTGTTGAAAACACTATCCTTTCTTTGTTGAAACATTTTTGTTCCTTTGTTAAAGATCAGTTGACTATGTATGTTGGTCTATTTCTAGGATCTCCATTCTGTTTCATTCATCTATTTGTTTATTCTTTTGCCAATATCCCATTATCTTTAATACTTTAGCTTTCTAGTAAGTCTTGAAACTGGTTAGTGTCAGTCCTCTGACTTTGCTGTCCTGCAATATTTTATTGACTATTCTGGGTCTTTTGATTCTCCATAGAAACTTTAGAATCTTTTTGTTCTTATCCACAGAACAGCTTGCTGAGATTTTGATTGAAATTATGTTGAATCTATAGATCAACTTGGGAAGAGCTAACATCTTGACAATATTGAATCTTTCTATTTATGTACATAAGCTATCTCTTCATTTATTTAGAAATTCTTTGATTTCTTTCATCATAGTTTTGCATTTTTTCTTATGTAGGTCCTGTACATATTTTGTTATGAGAGCCCTCAGCTATATTGGGGTTCCAGTACCAAAGAGGCTAGCAACCCTACCCTAATGGGAAATAAAGGGGAATCAGGTATAGGTTGTTATAGTGTGTTTTTTCTGGGATAATTATTTTACCTGGTGGATAGCCTAATGCTTAGTTTTCTGACCTGTGACCAGTGGTTCCTCACACAGGAAATTTGTTTATATTGGCAAATGCCTTTGTGGCTTTTGTTTGACCCGTGTCCAGTTGTTGCCTGCCTGATCATTGCTCTGGTGTGGAAGCCCAGCCTTGTGTTCTCCCCAGTGTCCCAGGGAAACCCAGCTGGGGCAGCCCCTGGTTCTTGAGATGCGAGACGCAATTCAACACCATATCACAATAGGAAATAAGTTCAAACTTTATTACTTACAGACACCAGGCAGGGAGGGCACAGTCAGTTGGGAGGGTAGTTCTCTATCCCCGGTCATGCAGGAATGAAAGGTCAGGCAGAGAGAGAAAGAGAGGGAGCATGATGACTAGCGGCATATATAAGGGAACAGGGTGTGAGTCACTTTAAGTTTGTGGGAAAAGGCCTGAATGGTCTATTTAAAGGAAGCAGCAGGAAAAATGAGGAGCCCAGTTTACCCGGCAGGAGCTATGCCTCTAAGTTCTTATCTCTGGCCACTGGCTTGAGCCATCTGACCGCAGAGCTCTACTCCTGGTGCCTAGAAACAGCAAGCTTTGCTGTGCATTCCTGTTATAGATTTATATGTAAGGATTTAGTTTTTTGGTGATAATAAAAATTATATCATGTTTTACATTTCAAATTCTAGTGTTTCATTGTTGCTATGTAAGAAAGCAATTAAATTTTAAGTTTTATTGTTACCTCATATCTTGCAACCTTTCTATAATTGCCTTTGAGTTCCACAAGTTTTTCTGTTGACTATTTGGAATTTTCTACTTAGACAGTCATGTCATCTGTGAACAAATAGTTTTATTCTTTCCTTTCCAATATGTATCCACTTTATTTCTCTTTCTTGTCCTACTGTGTTAGCAAGGACATTCAGTACCGTATTGAACAGGAGTGGTGAGGGGGGGCATGTTCCTGCTTGTAGCTGTGATGGATTCCTTTGCCTGATGTGCAGCAAGTCGGTACTCTGTGATACTGGGGACGTAGCAGAGAAAGGATTTAATGATGATAGGACAGGCAGACCAGGAGGTGGGATGCCTCTGTCTTGCTTGTACTTCCCCTGTTTTTTATCACCTGCCCAGGGAGAAGCCAGCTGCCATTTCGCTGGCAATCCTCTGGAGAACCCATGTGACGAGGAACTAGGCCTCTTGCCAACAGCGTGCGATCAGCTTGAAGTGGCCTTCACAGCAGCAAAGCTTCCAGCCCTTGTCAAGCTTTCAGGTGACCGCAGCGCTGGCCACCAATTTGACTGAAGCCTCATAAGAGATTCTGAGTCAGAAGGACCCAGATAAGTCACTCCAAGATTTCTGACTCTCAGGAACTTCATGAGTTAATAAATGTTTATTGTTTCAGCGGCTAAGTTTTGGATGATTTGTTATGCAGCAGTAAGTAACTAATGTATTCCTCAAGTACAAAAATATATATTTACCCATGAATCCAACCCAGTGTTGGTGACATGGAGGAGACTCAGTTCAACAAATGCTTCAAAAACAGGAGTGAGAAAAGGAAGAGCAGCAGGAAAGCAGGACGTGTGGAGGGCGAGTGGCACTAGGCCCTCTTGGGAGGTTGGCTGCTTTGCACAGTTGGCTGGAATACCACCACGAAGGTCTTTCCTGCAACTTTCAGGGCCGATAACAAATGTGCTTCCTGGCGTGACAACGTTGTAACCGCAATAGGTTCGTTTGCCGGTTGTACAGCAGCTCAATACACTGAGACACTGGGAGGTAGCAGGGAAAGAATCTAAAAATCTCAGGGCAGCCAAACCAGGAGATGGGAGGATACCTCAGATTCACCTCTCTGAGAGGTTTGGGGACAGAGGTCTTAGGGGATCTGGAGAGATGCCAAGATGGGGGGGGTGAAGTGTGGGGATCGCTGATTGGTCGAGAAGTGAGGGGCAGAGAGATGAAGGAACTGCATTCTTGTGCTAAGTTGCTTTCCTTGGGGGTCTTAGACTAGGCTGGTGTCTGCCCTTGCAATGGAATTCAGGATGTGAAAAGCAACTTACGCAATGTTTGGTCAAAGGTGTGGTTGTTCTAGCAACAGGGAGCCTGTCTATAGGAACGATGGAGACGCAGGTGGTCAGCACACCGTGTGACTCTCAGTCAGTTATCAGCTGCAGGGAAATGGGTCAAAGCCACCAGCGCACTCTGGTTAATGCCTGACTATTCCTGTAATTCTGCTTAAAGCCTGGCTCGTGATTCCCGTTAACCCTAGGATGGCCGTTTCAACCTGAGCCATTGTTTCAAATAAGCTCTGCCTTCCCTCTCTCTTTTTAAAATTTTATTTATTTAGTTTTTCAGGTAATTTATTTCACTATTTTTTTTATTTACTTGCTGGACTGTCCAAAACATCAACCTTGCCTTTTCCGCCTTGAGGATCAATCAGGAAGCTGGGTGTGTTCTGTATGGTTCTAAGCTGTTCTCTGGGCTGCCTGGTGCACTCTCCTCCCAAGCGCCCTTTTCTTCGGAATCCGACTGGTCCAGCTCAAACAAGGCCACCTCCACTTGTACGCTCCTTCCGAGAGCCCAGCAATGTCTTCTCCATTGAAACGCCCAGGCGGCGCAGCTGCCATCTCCTTCCTTAGCTTGTCATTGCCACCTGTGGGAGAAAAGCCAGTACTTTGTCCAGTGGGGGGTCCTCTCTATGCAACTGTTCGCGGAGTGGAGATTCTTCTGGAATGACACGGGGAGTTGATGAGCAGCCTGTCCCATATACCTCCGCCGTCGCCGCTGCCCACCGTGAGCAGCTCCTCGGACCCTGAGACCCCGGGCAGCCCCAGCGGATGACGGACAGCTGGGGTTGGCCTGGGGCTCGCCGTGGACCTTCGTTCCTCCCAACCCCTCTTCTTTCTACATTCGCCGCGTTATTGAGGTATAATTGAAACACAAAGGGCTCTATATAATTAATGCATGCAACTTGATGACTTGGAGATAAGGACATCCCCGTGAAACCGTCCCGCAGTCAGTCCGCCTCCCGGTGTGGATGCAGTTCTCTGGGTGCCCTCTGTTCCCGCAGCTTTCCGGAGTGACGAATTTCAGAAGCCCAGCTCTGAAAGCCGGCAGTCAGCTCAGCGTGAGGATGCGGCGGGCACTGCGTTAGCGTTAGCCATGAGCTGTGCCGGGCTCTGCCTCAGTGCACGCGCCCCGCGGTCCCAGCCCGCACACTGCCCGTCCCTGTGCACGCGCCCCGCGGTCCCAGCCCGCACACGGCCCGTCCCTGTGCACGCGCCCCGCGGTCCCAGCCCGCACACGGCCCGTCCCTGTGCACGCGCCCCGCGGGCCCAGCCCGCACACGGCCCGTCCCTGTGCACGCGCCCCGCGGGCCCAGCCCGCACACGGCCCGTCCCTGTGCACGCGCCCCGCGGGCCCAGCCCGCACACGGCCCGCGGCAGGGCTGGGAGGCAGCTGCCCTTCTGCGTGCTGCTGGGGCTCGCAGCCCAGGGAGGCGGCTGGAGAGAAGCGTGGACGCGAAGAGGGGAGCAGTGGCGGCTGCACCCCGCAGCTGGAGCCCGCCAGGACAGGCGAGGACGCGGCCCGTTCCCGCCCCTCTGCCCGAGACGGCGCGTCCTCGCGAGCTGGGCTCCCAGCACGGCGGCCCAGGCGTCAGAGGGGCGGGAGGCGCGTCCGGGCGGCTCCGGGGAAGGCCGGCCAGGGCGCACCTCACAGGGCCGCCGCCTCGCCCCGACGGCGTGTGCCTGACAGGCCAAAGCAAAATAAGCCCATTAAAAAATTGTTTTTAATTGTGCTAGAACAGCAGTACTCAATTTGTCTCAGGCCTCTTTTACATTCTTCTTTTGTTTATGTGAATTTTAGCTATTGATATGTATCGTTTTAGAAATTAAAACAAATAAATGTAAACAATGTAACTTATTGATTTAAAAATAACACTAACCATTGCATGTTAATATAAGTGACATTTTAATAAATTTAACTATATTTTCTAAAATAAAGACTATTTAGTGAGAAGAATGACATCGTTTTATGTTTTTAAAATGCCTTTGATGCCTACCTTAACAGAAGACAGCTGGATTCTCATATCTGGTTCTGTACTCAATCTGTTGTGATCACACAGCATGTAGCCTCTGGAAAATTCTATCATAGACTCAAGAGAAGACAAAAGTGAAAAAGATGAATAGTGTCTCAGCGTCACCATGAAAATAACTTTGATTTCATGTCCCTTGAAAGGATCTTAAGAGACCTCCAGGGGTCCCCAGACCACACTTTGAGAACCACTGTATTGCCAAACAAAGAAAGCATTGTTCTCTAATTTTGGTGCAGCACTGGGAGGAAAAGTACAGATTGGAAGTGGTAGTTCCAAACTTCTGAGAAGAAAGAGCTACAAAGCCAATGGCTAGCCACAAGTGAAGCTTTGGGGCAATGATCTGAATAATTTAAGTCCAAGCAACATGCTAATGGCCTATTTGAGTAATTCAGATATTTCTTCCTACAATTCCAAAAATTCAAGCAATAGTCTATTCATTTTGTCTTTGAAGATACTAATAGTAGTAGGAGATAAAAGAATTGGTAGGAAAAATGGCTAGAGGCAGTACAGGGACAGGAAGACAGGAGAGAGAGAATGTCTCGCGGCAAGCGTCTGGTCTGTCTTCAGACTCCCAGACCCATTTGCGGGAAGGGGCGAGCTCTGGGGTAACGTGTGCGGCTCGGCGGAGGTCGCCCAGGGCAGTCACTGGGCCGCAGCACCAGTTTCCATGCATTTCCCAAGTTACAGCTGGTGATACAGGAATTCCTGGGTGGGAGAAGTGAGCTCATGACGGACATTTATGCACTTTCAGTGCCTCTGGACCATCTCTGCTGTGTTTACCAGGAAAATGTAAAACCAAATGATCTTACCATTTAGTATCTGTCCTTCCAATCATCTGTCTAGCCCTATCTGTGTATACAGTGTACACACGCGTGCGTATACATAGCTTTCAAGCAAAGTGGAGTATTAAATCAAAGTCTTGACGAACCAAGGGCATCATTTTGAATATCTCAGAGAACTGGAGTTTCCCTTGAGAGGAGGAGCTGGCGCGTCCGTGTGCGCGGATCTGGGCTGGAGCGACCCTAGTGTTGCTCCGCGCGCACAGCCTGTGAGACTCTCCCCGCAGAGACAGCCGATGGGGCCGGTGGCAGCGTGGCTTTGAGTCCCAATGTGTCAGTGAGGGGCACCGGTGAGGGGGACGTGGGACGCTGGGCTTCGGCGGTTCTCGCCCAGGAGGAGGGCGGCGCGCGCCCTCCCCAGCTGTTGGCGCTGCGTGGCCGGGCCGGGCGCAGCCTCGGACGTGGAGGGGCGCGGAGGGCGCGGACTGGGCGGGAAGGCGCGGGGCTGAGCGGGGGAAGCGCCTCGGGGCAGCGCCCGCCCGGTAGCAGCGCCAGGAAAGTCAGGAGACCCGTAGGGAGGAGGAAGCGAAAAATGCGACAGAGGAAGAGAGAGTGTGTGACTGAGAAAATGTGTGTGTGTGGGCTATATGTGGTGTGCGTGTGTGATGTGTGCGTGGCGTGTATGGTGCGTGTGTGATGTGTGTGTATGGCATGTGTGTGATGTATGTGTGGTGCGTGTGAGATGTGTTCTGTGTGTGTTGTGTGCATGTATGTGATGTGTATGGTGTGTGTATGTGATGTGTGTGGTGTGTGTGTGTGATGTATGTGTGGTGTGTGTGTGGTGTGTGTGAGATGTGTGCTGTGTGGTGTATATGTGGTGTGCGTGTATGTGATATATGTGTGGTGTGTGTGTGATGTGTGTGGTGTGTGTGGTATGTGTGTGATCTATGTGTAGTGTGTGTGTGGTGTGTGTGTATATGATGTGTGTGGTGTGTGTGGTGTGTGGTGTGTGTGCATGTGATGTGTGTGCATGTGATGTGTGTGGTGTGTGTGGTGTGTGTGAGATGTGTGTGGTGTGTGTATGTGATGTGTGTGTGGTGTGTGTGGTGTGTGTATGTGATGTGTGTGTGGTGTGTGTGGTGTGTGTGTGGTGTGTATGTGATGTGTGTGTGTTGTGTGGTGTGTGTGTGGTGTGTGTGGTGTGTGTGTGGTGTGTGTGGTGTGTGTGGTGTGTGTGAGGTGTGTGTGGTGTGTGTGAGATGTGTGTGCGGTGCGTGTATGTGGTGTGTGTGACGTGTGTGTGGTGTGTGTGAGATGTGTGCTGTGTGTACGCGTGTGACGCGATGAAAAACTGGCATTCAGGAGCTGGCAGTGCGGGGCGGCCGCCCAAGGCCCAGCACTGGCAGCGCATCCGGCAGGAGGCACAGACCCGGAGTCAGGGCGAGGCGACAGCTCGGGGGCCAGAGCCGGCCGCAGGCCCCGTGCCGCCACGCCGCGGGGCTGGTGTCAAAGGGCCCTGAGCCCTGGTGGGGACAGGAGCAAGGACGCAGGACACTGCAGGAGCAGAGCAAAGGTGAGAGGGGAGTCCTGGCTCCTCCCAGGCTCTGTGGATCCTCTGCAAGTTCAGCCACCCTCGGGCTACACCCGGCGCTGGAGCCCCTCAGCCTGCCTTGCTCTCCCGGCCTGCGCTGCCCGCCCATCTCCCCAGCTCGCCTCTGCTCCCCTTCAAGGAGCTCCCCCAGGGCTCTGTCTTGCTGTCTTGTTTCTCCAGGGACTATTTTCTACTTACCCCTAATCAGGATCTCCTGTCCCTTTTGTGTGCGCTATGGCCCCTGACCGGTCTGGCCTTGGTCCCGCCCTGTGAGCTCTCGACTCTGATGGGCTGTTTGGTGCCAGTGGGCTTCCGGCTTCTTCATCTGCAGGATGAGACGGCGGGATCGCGTGAAGGCCTCTTGTTCCGGGAGCCTTGAGATTCTACAAATCCCCCCCCTTTTTTTTTTTTGCTAATTATTAACCAGCTTGTTAACTTCTTACCTAAGCAGCCTAAGGCGAGAGGAGGATAAAAGCAATCTTCTAATTCACCTTTGCAAACTCTTTTCAATTTTTTGCCCGAAGAAGGGAACTTGGTTTCTGGGCTGTCTTGGTCATATTCACAAGACTGCAAACTACTTGCCCTGACCCAGCAGGACCATGGAGAAGGAGGGGTTAGGAAAATGTCATCACTCCTAGTTGGCTAATCACTGGCCTCTCTGCGTGCCCAGAGGGGCACGTGGCGGAGACTAATTGGCTGCTTTGAAGGGAAAGGAAAGCTGCTGTCTGGAAACTGAACCCTCCCACACTGCGGCTCTGGAAGCTTCTGCTGTCGGCTCACTTTTCAGACCAGTGAGAAACGGTTTGGGTTTTTGAATAATATTCCAGGAAAAGAAAGCCCACCAGATGCCTGCCTTTTAATGACATAAAGGAAATTCTGTTTAAATTCATTGTTTAATCACAGCTCCATCCATACGATAAGCTGCCCTAGGTTGAGAGGTAGAGCAATACAGGTGCTCACCGGGGTACCTCTACACACCCCACTCTGTTTCACTGTTGCTTCTTTTCTTCTAAAAAATTTCTTGTTTTGAAATAATTTTATATTTACCAAAAGTTGCAAAAAATAATACAACAATATTACCATGTTTGATTATCTTGCACACTCCTGTGTGTGTGTGTGTGTGTGTGTGTGTACATGCCCCAACGCCCATGTGCTTTTGTGTGCAGGTAGTTTTTTCCTAAGTGTTTGAGACTAGGTTGCAGACATGATGCTCTCTTAGCTAAGCATTTTACTGTGCATATCTGAAATCCAAGCATATTCTCTTTTATAATTATTGTGCAATATCAAAACCAGGAAATTAATGTCAACACAGTTCTATTGTCTAACCTACAGACTTTACTCAAATATTTCTGGGTGTTGGGAAAATATGATTGAGGAATTAATGAGATGTGGCTCATATGATGTGGCTCATAAGATCATTATTTTATTGTATAACCCAACATTACTATATTAAAGGCAGAAACAGGAGTTTGCAGGGTTTTGCCCTGAAGGAATGTGTGAACTCAATTGTTCACTTCTCAGAGGCTGCTATTATGGGAGAGCTCTCAGATCTCCGGTAGGGATGTTTTCCAGGAAGGCTTCCCGGTATCTCAAAATCTGTGAGCTTCCCTGTGTCTTGAAAGACAAGGCAAGACAAACATGGCCCACAGGATGGGAGCCAGAGACAGTGAGTGCACTTTGCCCAGAGATGTGCCCCCGTGGTTATAAACAACCTGTTTATTAGAGATGGGTTTCCTGCTCTCTCCTGTCTGTCTACCTTTAAGTCCACCATAACTAATCAAAGAATATAGATCCTATACCTCTTTTGTTATACCTTTGTTAACTGACAACTACCTCTTTAGAAGTTAGCCCCTGAAAGACTTTGTACCTGTTTGTTCACCTAGATAGATTAGAAGCCCCTTGAGAGGACTGTTGACGCTAACCCACTACCTGTATCCCCTAGCAACTGCATTCCCTGATGTGCAAATATGTTACTCTGACAACTGGTAATTGATGTCTGTGATTATAAAAACCTGTGTGAATCTAACCATATTGATGGCGGTTATGGAGATATGCCAGTCCCCTAGGAACTTCCCGCTGTGTTATATCTGATCTTTCTATCTCTCTCTCTCTCTCTCTCTCTTCTACAATGTATATATATATATATATATATATAAAACTATAAACTGTACTTTAGTCTCTGTGTATTCTTTTATTTCTCTCAGTTGCCTACAATTTCCTTATCCTCTGTGGCGACCCCTATCTTAGGGACCTGGCTCCGTGGGGAGAAGCAGCTGATCTCCTCTCAGGCCTGCCTCAACTACTCTCCCCCTGCAGTTTGGCGTAGTCGGCAGGATAACCGCATCTGGGTGTCCCACTAATGTTACTTTTCTGATCCAGGATCTCATGCTGCATTCAGTCATCATGTCTCCTTGGTCTCCTTTAAAGTCCAAAAGGCCTAGTTCCTTGGCCTTTTACTAAATGTCCCATGGCCTTGACACTTGCAAAGAATAGTATTCAGTTATTTTGTTGAATATCCCTCAAAAGGGGTTTGTCTGATGTTTCTGCAGGCTTAGATACAGGTCATGCATTTTTGGCAGAGATACAACAGAAGTGGTGCCTATCAGGTCAGGAGACACATGATACTGATTTGTCCTATTGATGTGTGCTGTCCTGGTGATGAGAATGTTGATTACTTGGTGTCTTGGTGGTGTCTGCCAGGTTTCTCCATCGTAAAGTTCTTATTTCCCCCTTTGTCATTAATAAGAATCTTGTGAGGTGGCACTTTGAGACCATGCAAATATCCTGATTCTCACCATACTTTTGCAATTAATTTTAGCATCTATTGATGATTCTTGCCAAAACCAGTCATTACAGTGGTGGGTGCCAAGTAGTGATTTTCTAATTCTATTATTCCTTTTGCAAGAAAGAGCTGGCCCTTCTCCCCTACTTATTTACCATATCTGTGTGGGCACACAGATTCCTAATCTATGCTATGGCTTGTAAACATTTACCGTTACTATTTAGTTGCCCAAATTTCACCAGTGGGTGCCTTTTCTGGGTGGCTCCTGGGTCCTTTGGATATGTCTCCATCCTCTTTTAATACTTCTTTACTTTCTGGTACTGCCTGATACTCCAGGCTCATCTTACGCTTTCCCTGCCCTAGCCCTGGGGCAGACATTTCTCCAAGGGGCCCTCACTCCTGTCACCGAAGAATGGCAGGAGAAGGCAGGACCTGGGTGCTCTGGCTCACCCTCCCTGGTCACGGGTGGGGTTCCCCACAGTCACCTGTGCCACCCACTCCCCTTCCCTCTCAGCCTCTCTGTCCCCTCTCAGCACAGTTCCCTCTTCTGTGCACAGGGCCTGACTGCGCAGCAGGTGGCTGAGTGTTTCCACTCGGATCTTAAAGGAAGCATGTCCTTGTTGTGGGCTTAACTGTGTGTCCAAAACTCATATGTTGACATCCTAACCCTCAGTAACTCAGAGCGTGGTGTATTTGGAGAGGAGGCCTTTAAAAAGGTGACCGAGGTAAAATGAAGCCCCGCGGGAGGCCCTAATCCAATCTGACTGGGGTATTGCAAGTACATGAGGACGCAGACGCAGAGAAGGACGGCCGTGGGAGGACACGGAGAAGACAGCTAACTACACAGCAGGAGAGAGGCCTCAGGAGAAACCAGCCCTGTTGACACCTTGGTCTTGGGCTTCTAGCTTCTGGACTGTGAGACGGTAGATTTCTGTGGTTCTAGCCGCCCAGGCTGCGGCACTTTGTTATGGCAGCTTGAGAAGACTAATGCCATCCCTCACAGCACCCACGCCCTCCTCCTGCTTCTCCTCTTAGTGCGCCCAGCTCAGGAAAGGATCCAGATGTCACCAGTGGGTGCCTTTTGCAGTTGGCTCCCAGGTCCCTTTTTTTTTTTTTGAGACAGAGTCTCACTTTGTTGCCCAGGCTAGAGTGAGTGCCATGGCGTCCCAGCCCTACCTTACAGCAACCTCAAACTTCTGGGCTCAAGCCATCCTGCTGCCTCAGCCTCCAGAGTAGCTGGGACTACAGGCATGCGCCACCATGCCCGGCTAATTTTTTCTCTATATATGTTAGTTGGCCAATAAATTTCTTTCTATTTATAGTAGAGACGGGGTCTCGCTCTTGCTCAGGCTGGTTTCGAACTTCTGACCTTGAGCAATCCGTCTGCCTCGGCCTCCCAGAGTGCTAGGATTACAGGCGTGAGCCACCGCGCCCAGCCTCCTGGATCCTTTTGATATGTTGCCATCTCTCTTTTTTTTTTTTTTTTTTTTTTTTTGAGACAGAGTTTCACTCTGTCGCCCCAGTTAGAGTGTAGTGGCATCATCATAGCTCACTACAATCTCAAACTCCTGGGCTCAGGTGATCCTCCTGCCTCAGCCTCCCCCAGTATCTGTGACTATAGGCATGTGCCACCACACCTGGCTAATTTTTCTGTATTTAGTAGAGATGAGAGTATCACTCTTGCTCAGGTTGGTCTTGAACTCCTGACCTTAAGCAATCCTCCCACCTCTACCTTCCGGAGTGCTAGGGTTACAGGCATGAGCCACCGCGCCCAGTCCCTCCATCCTCTTTTGATATGAATACTTCCTTATTTGGGGGAATATGTGGCACTCCAGGCTCATCTTGCACATAAGATGTGAGCGTTGGTTTTGCCATCAGACCTGGAGCGCAGAAGAGGGGGGTATGCTGGGAGGGGACAGAGAGCCTGAGAGGGAGGGGCGGGAGTGGCACACATGGCTGTGGGAAACCCGACGCGTCACAGGGAGGGTGAGCCAGAGCATCCAGGTCCCGCCTTCTGCCATTCTCTGGTGAGAGCAGTGAGGCCTCCGTGGAGAAATTTGTGTCTGTCACAGTTCATGTCTGTCTATCAGTTCTTCTTCATCTTTGTCTTCATTTTTAAATCTGGAATAACTCTATAAGGGGGAACCTCCCTTACCAAGTTTTGGTTATTTTAAGGTCCCACTTGTACAGCAAAGGCAGGATAAAAATGTTTGATTCTTTCTCTTTATTTTCTATTTTCAAAATTAGTTGATTTCTTAGTATTTTCAACATGTGACAAAGGAGTTTTTTAAAAAGTATTATTATGAACTCATGGAAATATACACATTTTCTGTTCTTCAAATTATTGCAATTATTTATACAGCTGTTCAAATTGTCTCATCTTTGGTAAAAGGGAGATTAACAAGTTGCCTCCTGAACTCATTTGGCATGATTCTAGTAGAACCTGTGAGAGGCTTTTCTCTTTCTAGAGCATGATGTTCCAGGTTCATTCTGTACGTTTTTTTGGCTGGGATCTTTTTTTTTTTTTTTTTGAGACAGAGTCTCGCTTTGTTGCCTAGGCTAGAATGAGTGCCGTGGTGTCAGCCTAGCTCACAGCAACCTCAAACTCCTGGGCTCAAGCAATCCTTCTGCCTCAGCCTCCCAAGTGGCTGGGACTACAGGCATGGGCCACCATGCCCAGCTAATTTTTTCTATATATATTATTTGCCCAATTAATTTCTTTCTATTTATAGTAGAGACGGGGTCTCGCTCTTGCTCAGGCCGGTTTCGAACTCCTGACCTCGAGCAATCCGCCCGCCTCGGCCTCCCAGAGAGTTAGGATTACAGGCGTGAGCCACTGCGCCTGGCTTTGGCTGGGATCTTGAAATGACCATTTTGTTAAGAGGCCCTAGTTTCTTTTTTTGAGAAATGATATTTAGAGATTTTTAAGCCCTAGGGATGCTCACTACTGTTGTGTTGGTTTTTGTTATTCAGCCTTTTCAGTAGACACAGCTACGAAATACAAAAATAAAATGCAAAGATTAAATACATCATGAATCCATACTGCTACTTCAAATTTAAATTCAACTTTTTTCACAGTTTTTTAGAGTGGTAAACTATATATAGTATAGAAATTGCCATTTAAACCATTTTAAGTGTATAATTAGTGGGATTAAATTCATAACGTTGGACCACCATCACCACTATCTATTTCCAAATTTTTCATCATGCCAAACAGAAAGTTTGTACCCATTAAGAGATAATTTCCCATTTCCCCATTTCAGTCCCTGGTAACCTCTAATCTACTTTTCATCTCTTTGAATTTATCTGTTCTGGACATTTCATGTAAGTGGAATCATATAGTGCTTGTCCTTTCGTGTCTGGCTTATTTCACTTAGCATGATGTTTTCCAGGTTCATTCATGTTATAGCATGGATCAGAACTTCATTTCTTTTTATGGATGCATAATAAATATTCTGTTGTATGCATAACAACATTTTGTTTATCCATTCATCTGTTGATGGACACTTGGATTATTTCCCCTTTTTGGCTGTTGTGAATAATGCTGCAGTGAACACTGGCATAAAAGTATCTCTTTGAGTCTCTGCTTTTATATCTTTTGGGTACATTCCTAAGAGCAGAATTGCTGGGTCATATGGCAATTCTGTTTACCTTTTGAAAAACTACCAAACTATTTTCTACCCTGCTGTACCATTGTATTTTCCCACCAGCAATGTCTGAGGGTTCTGGTTTCTGTACATCTTTACCAACAGTTATTTTTTTTCTTAGTCAGATAATAGGTATGAAGTAGTATCCCAGGGCGGTTTTGATTTGCATTTCCCCAATGATTAGTGATGTTGAGCATATTTTCATGTGCTTATTGGTCACTCATATATCTTCTTCGGAGTATTGTCTATTCAAGTCTTTTGACTATGTTTTGATTGGGTTGCTTTATATAGTCCTATTTCCCAATCAGGTCTCAAATAATCTCATTTCTTCAACAAGTAAATAGCGAGGAAAAATATAAATAAAATCTAGATATTAAACCCCTTTTAGAGATATGATTTGCAAATATTTTTTCCCATTCTGTAGATTGTCTTTTCATTTCTTTGATAATAAGTCTTAACGCACAAAAGTCTTTAATTTTGATGAAGTCCACTTTTTTTCTTTTGTTGCAGTTGCTTTGGTGTCATATCTAAGAATCCAGTGCCAAATCCAAGGTTACCCCTTTGTTTTCTTATGAAAGAAGAAAAAGGTTACCTCTTTGTTTTCTTATGCTTTACCCCTTTGTTTTCTTATGAAAGTTTTACTAGATTTATTGTAATTTTCCATTGTATGAGTCAGGATAAGTTACACTGTTTTGCAGTAACAAACCCTGAAATCTCGGTAAATCAACATAAAAATTATATATTGTTTACATCACAATACAGCACGGATTGGGCAATTCTCCTACATCACGTCACTAGATGGAGCAAGAAAAGCCTAAGAAAGATGTTTTCTAAAGGTCACATCTGAAAGTCCATGATTTTCACCTACTTTCCATTTGCCAGAACTCAGTCACATGGTCTCAGCCTAACTACAATGGAGTCTGGGAAACGTAGTCTTTCTGTCTGCCCACTGACGATTCTAAATTAAGGAATTACTAGAAAATATCTTTCATTTTATTGGGCATTTTATTTTGCTTTTTGCCTCCTTGAAAATTATAAGATGATCGCTCAATTCATTCATGTTGCAAATACAAGGCAGTTAATTGGTGTTAATTTTAATATTTTATAATTGATATTAGTGGCTGTTTCTGGGGAGAAGCCAGCGCTGCTGAGGGATAATGAAGTTGGGCGGGTGAGAGTCGGCGGTGACTAGCAGCAACCCCATGAGGCACTGGCGTTAGCCTTGCTCGAACAATTCTCTGAAGAGATTTAGAGAGCGGCAGTCTGTGAAGTGTCCGCAGTGCCCCTGAGATGGCAGCCTGCTGCCAGACAAGGGGCGTGGAGCAGTGGGCTACGCTCGGCTCAGGGCACGTGCTCGTTATGAAAGTGATTCGAACTGGAAACAGAACAAAAGCAAAGAAAAAGGCAGCGGCAGAAAACGCAGGGCGGAGCGGCGGCGCCGGAGCGGCGGCAGGGAAGGCGCGGCGGGCGGCGAGGCCCGCGGGTGGCCGCGCCCGCGCCCGCACAGCGCCCCCGCCAGGCCGGGAGGCGGCGGTGCCGAGAGCCGCGCCACCGCAGCGCGGCCATGTTAGGCGGGCTCGGTCCGTGTAAAGTAACCTCGGGACGGGGCACGCATCGGTGCCCATTCAGAGGGAAGATGAGGCTGTGCCTCCTCGTCGCCAAGGCAAACACGAGCTCTGGCCCCCGTCTCGCCGGGCCCCTCCGTCCCGGACGCGAGCCTGCGGGGACGAGGGCCGCGGGGAGTCAGCCCTTGGCGAGGGCGAGCGCGCGTGCGCAACTGCAGCGTCTCACCGGGAAATCGCCCGGCTCTCGCAGCCGCCCGGAGAAGTCAGCACGGAGTGTGGGGAAAGCGCTGCCCCAGGGCGAGAGAACACAGCCCTTATGTTCCTTTATGCTTTTGCAGCCTTAACTTCCTGGCGTCTCTAGCCTGTGGGTTCCAACGAGGTCAGAGTGCTTATGGCAGATGTTTTCTTTGGCTTTTGTACGCACCCACATAATGCAGAATGTCTCCTTTCTGCTAGTGCATGCCCACCCCAGAGGGAGGCCAGCCTGGGATCATGGATTGTCCTCCTACGGGCTGAGCTCTGCCCTCTGAGAAGCCCTCAGAGGGCGTGGCTGTCTTCTGGGAGAAAACTGATGTCAGGGGTGACACCTAGGGTTTCCACATCACAATGCTCCCAGCACCACTCAGTGCTCTGGACAAGTAGGTACCATCTCACAAGTTTATTCACATAGATGGAATCACTCGACCATCCCCCCTGCTCACCTGATTGTCCTTGACAGTTTGAATCCTGGCTAAGTCCCAGGGAGGACCCTGGTATACTCATGCAGCTAGCACATTCTTAGTTTGGAGGGTCTGGCTTCTGTAACTTCTTGCATTGTAAACCCAACCAAAATGGTTTCTTGCCTCCCCTGATCTCATTCGTGCCATTGTCGTTCACCAAGTGGGGTTGCCTTGCAGAGCTCTGCTCTGGACACACGGTGGGGAAGACTGGAAGGCTGGACAGCCCCAGGGCAGCATCTCCCTGTGTGCCACTCACATAAGCTCCTCAATATATCATCTCTGTTTGTCATCACACAAACGTGATGAGGTGTCATCAGTCCTGATTTACAGCGGAAGACACTGGTGAAGCACGAGTCCGGGTCTCAACAGTTGGTAAGTGGTAGAGCCAGGTAAGTGTCCATGCACTTGACTGCTTTATATGCTATAAACCCCTAAGGCATTAGTGTTAGTCTTGCTTAAGTATCATATATTTACCAGTGCAGTTGTCTTTTTTGGTACAGCTTATTCCCTTTTATCTGATGTCATTTTCCTTCTGCTTGGAAGACTTCCTTTGACATATCTTATTGTGTATATATAACTAGAGTCCCCGAAGAAGAGAAACTATAGGGAGGGCAAAAACAAATATTTGAAGAAATAATGACTGAAAAATTTTCAAATCTGATGAAATGATAACCCCACAGATCAAAGAAGCCTATTGAACCCCTAGTGCAAGTAACATGAAAGTCACTTTAAACTGTCCTGATGCTCTTCCTATGTTTTTCTTTTTAATTCTTTTCCTCTCTTTTTCATTTTGAATAGTTTCTATTGCTAAGTCTTCTGGTCCAGTGATCTTTTCTTCTATAATACACAATTGCTCTTAATCCAATCCAGTGTATTTTTCATCATAGACACTGAGTTTTCATATTAGAAGTTCAATTTGGGTCTTTTAAAAAATATATGTGTTCAGTTAAGTTTTTGAACTGATGGAATATAGTTATAACGATTGTTTTAATGTGCTCATCTGCTAATTCTGACACCTGTGCCGGTTCTGGGACTGTTTCAGTTGGTTGATATTTCTCTTCATTATGTTTTTTTTTTTCCCCTGCTTCTTTCCATGCCTTGTAATCTTTGATTGGATGCCAGGCCCAGTCAATTCTCTGCTGAATCTGGAAAGAGTTTCTTGAATGAGGCTCAACTGAATTTTGAAGGATATATATGGATTAAAGAATAAAATGAGGGAAAAAGCATTTAAGAAGAAGGATCAGCATGTGCAAAGGTCCTGTGGCATATTAGGCTTCATGTTTTTGAGAAAATAAAAGAGTGTTGGTGTGACTGGAACAAATAATGAAATGGAGAATCATATGTCTTTGGGGTGAAGGCATGGGCAGGCCATGCCCTTCCTTCTTCAGGAGCTTTGGTAGGCATTTTGGTTCTTATCCTGTAAGCAGTAGTAATCCTTTAAAGGTTTTAAATAAGCTCAGATTTTCAGAAAAACCATTGCGGCTTCAATGCAAAGAACAGCTTGCATGAATTTCAGAATAGAAGGGTAGACAAGTTAGGAAACTACTGTAGAACTCTGAGTGAGAGAGGTGCATGTTTTGGGCCAGGAGTGGAGCAGAGATGGAAAGAGGTGGGCTGACCTGAGACACGTGAGGTGGGGTGTCTGCTGCCCCTTCCTGTCTGTACCCTGCCAGATCAACCACCAAGTTCACACAGACCCCTTTCTAGGGGATATTATTTTCAGAGTGAATATATTTCTTACTACTATGTTCTTAAATATACTTTATCTCAGATATCTGAACATTGTACATAGTACCTTAGAAAGGAAATCTATTCATTACCTTGTACTTGGCAGGGACTCTAGTGAATCTCTTCTGATATTTGCCTAAGAATTTCCCTAAAACATTCAGTAATGAAAAACCTCATTGCAAAGGCCTGGCTCGATAGTCCTCAAACTTTAATGTGCATCAGAGTCACCTGACAAGCTTGTCCAAGCACAGATTTCTGGGTGCACTTCCCAGAGTTTCTGGTGCGGGAAGTCGAGGTTGGAGCCCAGGATTTGTCATTTCTGTCAAGTTCCTGAGTGATGCGGCTGTTGCTGGTGCAGGGAACACAGTTGAGAACCGCTAGTTCATTAGAGGCGGTGTAGCTAAGAGGTCAACTTGCTGGGCTTGACACAGAGCTGCCCGTTTCTAGCGATGTGAGTGGGCAAGTTGCTTACTGCTCTGTGGCTTTGTTTCCTCTTTTGGGTCTTGGTGAGGCTTGGAATGAGGAATGTTTGTAAAGCATTAGTGGAGATGCAAAACGAGAGTATACAAGCTTTTATAACAAGAAAATAAATTCGACATAGCTAGAATATGCCACAATTCTCAGTGCACAGTGGGACAGATGACGCTTTTGGTTCATTCTTGGAGAACACTAGTCAAATCCAGTGCCATATCCCAATGGGAGTCTCCAGTGAACAGCCTGGAGAGGATTCAAGCTCTGTTCCGTCTCTGTCTCCTCGGTTTGGGTAAATCTGGAGCAGATCTGTGTGTCAGGTGAGTGTCTGCCCCTCCTCTCCTGCCTGGATCCCCACAGCTTTGCCTGCCCCTAAACGGAGTCACATTTGGGATGAGACAGTTGATGAGGGAGGCAGAGGGCTGACTCGCCCACAGGGGCTGGCTCTGGGCAAGCTTTCCCAGGTCGCACAAGCCACAGCGTTTCCGACACAGACAGATAGACTGCCTCTGCTGGTCACTGGGGTGTCAGGAGGTGGCAAGGAAATGACCCATGGGAGACCGTGTCATCCAAGGTTTGGATTCCCCCAGATTCCTTAGCCATAAACAAGGCACGGCTCACCTATACAGTCCATTTCTGAAATTTCCACAGATAAGAGCTCAGTGGCCTTTAACTGAGGCTTGCACATGGGAATCCGAGTCTTCCAGAGTAACCCCAAGGCCTGGAGTGGAGAGAGAATGGAACTGGAAGACAAGGCAGCTTCTGCCGATCCACCCGTCAGCAGCCTGCCCAGCCCTGGAATCCGCAGCTAGGCGCCAGCCCTGGGCTGGACGGGCAAGCTGTCTTCCAAAGCCTCCCAAGTCCTCTTTGGAGATGAAAGCCAGAGATTAGCAACCATCCTGACAATTTGTAAAAGCCATATTATTGACTGTTATTTAAAATATCCCTAAGTTGGGATAGTTATTAACATAAACATAAAACATATTTACATTCTTTAAATATGATTGAAGATATTGAATCAAGCTTTAAAAACTAAAGTAACTTGGAAATGAAGTCAAAGTCAGAACATGTAGTGAGGGATTAATTAGAAAACTATGAAAAAGCAAGGCTGGGATCATTTCCAGCAAATGATTTTGTCACCAGGAATTCCAAGGAGGCAAATTAGCAATAAGTTGCATAGTCGGCCACTTGAGTAAAATAGGCAAGGGTAATTTTTCTCATTCACCCAATTGTATTTCTCATACAAGGATGACAAATGCTCTCTCTTGTCATTTTATTTTTATAATAGTGATTCTTTTTGTTTTGCATTGCCTGGCTATTGCCATGTGGACAAAGCAACTTTTTCCATCCTATTTTAGTTCTCAGAGTGTATTGATTTTTAATTTCCTGGAGCCAATTGTCTTTGCAACAATATTTTATTCAGTATGAGAAGTAGTGCCAATTTTAAACATTTATAGACTTGTTTCTCCAGGGAAAAACAGCACAAGCTAGAAAGAAAAACTAAAATTTTATTTGATGAGATTCAAATGGCAATTGAGTGTTTGAATATAGAAGTCCATTTATGAAATGATATCCTGCCAATTTCTATCCACTTTTTGGAGAGAGAACATTTTCTGAGGAATCCAAATGAGTGGGAATTTGCCATTGTCTTGGAAGCCTAACGGAAGATACAGCATATAAATTTTCCCTTTCTAAATATAAATACACATATTTTTAAATTAATACATTAATGGATCACATTATAATGTTGCTTTTAAAACATTTCGTTTTGTTTTTTGCTTGTCTTCTCCTTGTTGCCCTCCCAAACGCCCTCCCTGCCTCCTGGACAGGTAGCTTGTGATGCCAGCGTGTGGCCTGTGACTTCCCCTACACACGCGGGCCTGCGTGTGTGCGCACAGAGGTTGGAGTGCTTTTCCTCATTGTTTTAAAACTGATAATAGAATAGGCATTTTTCTGCATTTGGTTTTATTTACTCTGTAATCGCTCATGGAAATCTCCCACAGTCATCAGTGTGACTCTAATTCGTTCTTTTCCATAGCTGTGGTCTGGATGGATCAGGATTTATTAGGCATTCCTCTGTCAGTAGGTGTTTGCTTGAGTTCCTGCTTTTTGCTACTTGGAACAATGCAGCAATAAATGCTCATGGACTTGCGTTTTCATTTCGATGGGATAGAGGAAGGTGGCGTAGAAGTCTCGGTTTGGGTCCAACCCCTTTGGCTCACCTTTCTGTGCTGCGGCGGCTGGAAAGGTGGAAGCTGCCGTGGCCGCGCTCAGTGCAGGGAGGGACGGGGCTTCTGGCTGAGCCTTTTCTCATACAGGCCGGGCGTCCTTAATCCGAAATCTGAAATGCCCCAAAATTCAAAACTTTTTGAGTACCACTGTGAGGCTCAGAGGAATTGCTCATTGGAACATTTCAGATCTTTGGATTAGGGATGCTGAGCTGGTAAGTATGATGCAAATATTCCAAAATCTGGAAAAACCTGAAGTCTGAAAGACTTCTGGTCCCAGGCATTTTTGGATAAGAGATACTCAACCTGTACCTCCTTCTTCCTGCTTGGAACGCAGCTATTGCTAAAAGCGCAGAGTTGAGAGGGAGAGAGGGAGAGAGAAGGAGCCTGCTGTCTATGATTTAGCCATATTTCAACAAGTATTTGTGGCATGCATACTGTGCCCTGGTGAGGGATGTGGACGTAAAACAAGGAGACAGGGTCCTTGGCCTCATGAATGGCCTGGTAGAGACCATAGTCACAGAGGCCCGAAAGAGAACTAGCCGGGTCTGGAGTGGGAAGGGACAGAAAGAGCCCTGCCACGGGGAGGGAGTGGCCTGTTTCTTAGAACAGAGGAAAGGCTGGCACGACCAGAGCCCAGTGCTGGAGACACAGGGGGGCCGGGCCGGGCTTGCGCTTGTTAGGCTCTCAGTGATCTTGAACGGCTATTGGTGGCAAGGAAGGTAGGGGTTCCAGGAGGCAAGAGTGAGAGAACCATTATGAGTGTACCGGGTGAGGATGATGCTGGCTTAGATCAACAAGGTGGAATTGGATTTAGAGAAAAGTTGATAGTTTCCAGGTGTGGCTTTTCCCCATTTTGAAGATTATTATAAAACAATGCTGCAATGCAAATCACTTTATCTATTTTTTTCAGATTTGCCTGATTGTTTTTTAGAATAAACTGTAGAAGTGGCCATCTGGACTGAACTCGGTGCCCATGAAGATGTTGCTGTGTGGCGAACACTCGCACGCAGCAGTGCACGCAGCACACAGCACCTCGTTGGTGCAGAGGGAGTGTGGGCAGCGTTGACACAGCCCCGGCCCAACAGTGGAAAAGGTTTTGGTGTTGAGTGTCTTTTATTACTACTATGGTCGAATTTCTCAGTAATGTTACAACATCACAAAACATTTATTTTCCTTTAGGAGTTTATAATTTCCTAAAATGAAATGCAGGATTGAAGAAAATGCATAGAGAATGGATTTAGGACTTTCCCTCTTTTAGAGTCACACCCTGCACCAGTCGCCCAGTGACTTGCTCTTCTTTGTGGGTGCGTGTTCACCTGCAGTATGTTTGCATTGACTTTCTGCCGCGAAAGGTGGTGATGTCAAATAGGGCCAACCAGGAAAATGCCTTCATGCTTTTCTTACTATGGCTACTGATTTCCTCACAGACTCATAGTGAGGATTAAACAAGGGGATTTATGTAGAGCCCTTAGTAAAGCACTCACACTTTGAAAAAATCTCTATAAAAGCTACTTGCTTCTTTCCAGCTATTTGTTCTCCAGATACATCCATGAGTATCAATAAACCAGTGAACCAGTAGCCTCAGTAAACCAAGGAAAACATTGTAGCACTAGGTTTTTAAAAACAGGCATGTCATCGATAAAAGCAAGGTGAAATAACAGATATGAGAAATAATTTTTTTTTTTTTTTTTTTTTTTTTGAGACAGAGTCTCGCTTTGTTGCCCAGGCTACAGTGAGTGCCGTGGCATCAGCCTAGCTCACAGCAACCTCAAACTCCTGGGCTCAAGCAATCCTCTTGCCTCAGCCTCCCGAGTAGCTGGGACTACAGGCATGCGCCACCATGCCCGGCTAATTTTTTCTATATATATTAGTTGGCCAATTAATTTTTCTATTTATAGTAGAGACGGGGTCTGGCTCTTGCTCAGGTTGGTTTCGAACTCCTGAACTCAAACGATCCGCCCGGCTCGGCCTCCCAGAGAGCTAGGATTACAGGCGTGAGCCACCGCGCCCGGCCGAGAAATAATTTTTATATGAATAATTCTGTATGAGCCAGGGATGGTGGCGCATGCCAGCTACTCTGGAGGCTGAGGTGGGAGGATCACTTGAGCCTAGGAGTTTCAGACCAGCCTGGGTAAGACAGTGAGACCCTGTTTTGAAAAACAACAGCAGCAGCAACAACAACAAAATTCTGTATAAATTCCGCTTATCTTCTCACTGGAGTATAGAGATGCTCCAAGGAGCCAATTGGCTTTGAAAACACTGAACGTGTGAACCCTTGTACAGGAGGCACTTACTAGGTGCTGGGTGCCGTGTGGTGATGGACACACGTCCCCTTTCTCAGATTAGCTCTGAGCTGGGCCTATGATTAGCCACACAACAACTGAGCATGAGCCTAGACACTAGGCAATAGTGGTACAAATGCTCAGATTCAGCCAATGCTCAGACTTTGCATAGTCCCAGCTCTCTCCATTGACGACTGTCACTGGAGGTGACCACTGGCAGGTGGTGACCCGAAGCACTAAGTTGTCAATATAGACCCAAAGTTTGTATATCATATACATACATCTATGTGTATAAATATATATATGTGCACCCCCTTCCACTGATAGTAGCTAAAGGAAATGAGAAACGTTTTTGAGAAAAGAAAATCAATTCCCTCCTCTTAAGAAAAGCATTTCTCTTCTTTGTGGTTTTGCAGAAAAGTCATTGCTCCTCAAACACCATTGTTTAAGCATTTTAAGTTAATACTGATCGGATTGAATGGGATTCCAGCGTAGGAAAGTAAACAGGAACGTGGGCCATAGCAACGTTTGTGTGTGGTGAGTCTTGAAGGCTCAGAGTTGAACGTTTCAGGAACTGCTTTGCCCTCCAAGCCTCTGGCCACCCAAGAGGCACTGCCTGGGAGAATCGTGTCTGTGTCGCCGCACAGAAGCTACCGGCCTCATCACTGTCACCATCGTCCCTTGCATATGAACCAGGGAAGTGATTGGGTTATAGATGAGCTAGTCTGGTAATATCCTCAATGTGGCAGTTGTCTCTTTTGGTTTCTTCCTCTTTAGTGCACCTTTAAAATGAATGTCAGGCTGCTGTGCTAACCCCACATATGCGCAGCACAGTTACATTTCCAAATACTTCTTGTTTTTTTGGAGAAGGGCACATGTTCATTAGCGATCTTGGAAACACTTCTCAGCCTTGGAGATAGGAAACTATTTTGTCCTGTGCTCTGGGGACTTAGTTATTGCGCTGAACCTGCCTGTTCAATGGCAAAAATGCAGTACATAAATTAAAGAATCATTTCTGGCCAGCTCTCAACATCATTCCATAGAAAAGGAGAATTGCTTGTCAAGAGTTTACGTCTTCTTGGTTCCATTTGATGGATATGGCAGGACACCAACCATCGAGGTCAGTTCAGAGCAGTGAAGGGGTAACCCTGCCGTGCTTCCGTCAGCACAACCGGTCACCTCTGCCTGTGAGCCCGGGAAACGGGACAATTCTCCAGGAGCCCTGACGTTCTTTTACATAAAAATCCCTTCTTGCTATCTGGAACCAGCACCTGAGGGGTCTAACCATCAGGGACAGTTCAGTTGAGGCACTAAAAGAAACCGCCCAGGTGGGTTATAAAACACAGGAGATAAGTCTTTCCAGATTCTTCAATAATTCAATCTTTTATTCTAGATTAAGGTTGTCAATTTGATTTGGCTTATCAATTCTGGAGAAAAAAAGATATGTAAATAACCTTTAAATCCTTTTGTACTGATTTGCTTTTTCCATTATTGTGTTAGTGTAGGAGAGGTGGGGTATTGGCATTCTACACGGCTGCCCCTGTACAGAAATGAGTGATTTTTGATAAGCATCCTACAGCCTGCACTTGCCAATAAATGCCTGTCCCCCACACGGCTGTCCAAGCAGGCTGAGCACTCCCGCCAAAGCTGCTAGCATGGCCCACAGCACTCCTGGAACCAGCTTTGGAAATTACCTTCAGAATCTGCATGATGGTTCGAATTGGCTGACAGTTCACCTTTGTTCTGTAAGACGAGTTTGAGTCTTAAAATAGTCAAGCATCATATATATCAAACCTTAATAAGAAGGCTAATCATGAAACTGCATAATCAAAGTAAAGTAAAACAAGAAGACTGTTATTTCATCCATGACCTGTAAACTGGCTGTGAAGGTGGTCCCATGAGAGGAAGCCCGTATTGGTGGCACCGTATTTGGGAGTGGGGGCTCCAGAGGGCGTTCAGAAATGACCACTCTTACCGAGTCCAGCGGAACATTTACTGTGTGCAACTCACTCAAAGAGTCTGATGCCGCATTTAGAGAATATCCCCGCTTGGTGAGTTCCTGGAGAGCTCAGGTAGCAATTTGGCAGCAGAGACTTTCATATCTCAAGGCAAAAGGTGAACCATGAAACTGCGCCAGGTGCAGGCTGAGCTGTGTGCAGGCCTGTGGTGACTGTGCTGCTGGTGACTGTGTAGCTTCTCCTCGATGGCAAGGCCTGGTCTGCAGAGATCGCAGCAGCCATGTGGAGAAGAAGGGGGTAGGTGGGTCTCTAGGGCCTCACCCCAACTTCAAATGGAACGGCTTTTCCTTCACTGGTTTGACATGTTTTTTATCAGAGGTCCATGTTAAATTTTGTTGGGAAGAAGAAAAAAAGTTTCATCAGTAAAAAACAAAAATCCTAAATTAAAACATCAAATTAATAAATAAAACTTTGAATCCACTTGTAGAGTAGAAAAAGCTTGTTTTGATTTTTTTTTTTTTTTTTTTTTTTTAGACAGAGTCTCACTTTGTTGCCCAGGCTAGAGTGAGTGCCATGGCGTCAGCCTGGCTCACAGCAACCTCAAACTCCGGGGCTCAGCGATCCTACTGCCTCAGCCTCCCGAGTAGCTGGGACTACAGGCATGCGCCACCAGGCCCAGCTAATTTTTTGTATATATATTTTTAGTTGGTCAATTAATTTATTTCTATTTTTGGTAGAGACGGGGTGTCGCTCAGGCTGGTTTCGAACTCCTGACCTTGAGCAATCCGCCCGCCTCGGCCTCCCAAAGTGCTAGGATTACAGGCGTGAGCCACCACGCCCGGCCGAGCTTGTTTTGATTTTGAAGTCCAGGACTGTTCATAAGATGTGGGCATTTGAGCAGGAGTGACGCCCTGCACTGCAGTTTCTGCAACGTGCCACAGCAATGCTGTTTCTGAGAAAATCAAGCGAAACGTTAATGTGCATGCAATTCTTCTCACCATATACAATAGAAAAAATGTATTAGGGTTTGGGCAAAGCTCCTATAAAAATGACTCTCAAATTCAGTGGTTTAAAAAACGACCTCTCTGTGACGGCACCATCCCCAGAGAAGAGGGTTCTCTGTGATTGTGTTTTTTTCATTGCACCTTCTTGGGCTCTGGTTGCTTCCACCTTGCTGCTCCTCTGTCCCCATGGGCCTCCTCCAGATGGTCAGAGGGGTTCTTCAGCACCTGGTCCACACTCTGGCCCCAGGAAGGGGAAGTGAGCTTGGAAACTGGCTTCTTTAGTAAGGAACATATCTTGCTTGGAAGGTCGCAACTCAGGCCAGGCCCCCCTAGCTGCAAGACAGGTGACAAATGTGGTTTGTGGCCAGAAGACTATGTGCCTGGTGAGACCTCATTTCTACAAGAAAAAAGAAAAAGAAAAATTAGCCAGGCTTGGTGGTACGTCTGTAGTCTCAGCGGGAGGATCGCTTTTTTTTTAATCAAAAGTTTAGTTTATTATATCTCAAACAAGAAGCAATACAATTAATCAGAGTCCGCACCTAAACTATTGGCACAGTTTTGTCACTTTAACGGTGGCTTGTTTATGCCAGCAGAGAGGATCTCCAGAGCCCAGGAGTTTGAGGCTACAGTGAGCTAGGATGATGCCACTGCTCTCGAGCCCAGGTGACAGAGCCAGACTCTGTCTCACAATAAACAAACAAAATACACTGAAGAGACAGTATGAGACTAAGACATGAAAACAACACTCTGTATCTCTGCTAAGAGTCTGCATCCACATAAAAGGGTGGCTGAGGGTTGGGAGAACACGTGTTCACACACAAATGGGGGTGTGCACTAGAGGACAGAGCCAGACCTGGGTGTGAGATGGAGGGAAAGTAATGGGTCAGGTGCACCAAGGACGAGTCCTGCAGGAGTCATTGACAGCATGTGCCAGGAACTAAGGGGCACGGTTACAGCAGCTCTATGAATCTTATCAAAGATAAAAAAACAAACTAAACGCAAAGCAGATTATTATAAAGATTGAGACAAGGAGAAGCACTGAGTTTTAGTTTGGGTTCCCCTAGACAGGCACCCCCAGGAACGAGTTTGCTGAGAATGTGATCCCGGGCCTTGTTGGCAGGGGAGTGGGGAAGTGAGGCAGGCAGTGAAGGAAGTCCGTGAAGATGGGTTCCCAAACCAAATTCCATAGGGGGCAGGTGGACCCCGGGATCTGGTGCAAACAAACAGTGAGTTGTGTGACCCTAGGGGCTGGGGAGCTGGGGCATTTACACACCAGCCTCCATCAGTCACTCATTGAGAATTGCTCTCAGATGTGAATTCCCCAGCACATCCGGTCTGCGGTGTGCTGGGGCTGGGTGGGCTCGGCAAGGCGATGCGATATATGGATTGTGCTGCCATGCACGGCATGAGGCCCCCGGAACTGTGGGGGGCACGAGGGCAACTCCCGGCAGTGTTGATAAACAGAGTAAAAACTTCCTGTATTTCCTTTCTCTGATTTCCACATTCCTAGACTAACTATTACAAGCAGATGTATTTCCTCCTGTAATTGTTCTTTGTTATACAGATATGCATATTATACAGATATGCATGCATATGCAAACTATACAGATATGCAAATTATACAGATATGCATGCATATGCAAACTATACAGATATGCAAATTATACAGATATGCATGCATATGCAAACAATTCTCGTGCATGCACAAACATGTGCCTTGCTTATGTTTTACAAAAGTGAAACTCTGCACATTGTTTTTCAATTCACTTTTTCAAAAACTCAACCGTATATATTGTCACTTTATTGATAATATAATGTCATTGTCATGACATTATTTCTCTCATTCCTTTTAGAGCTGCTAGCATCACACAGAATGACTGAATCCTTATTAAACAGAGGACTCATGGACAGACATCAAAGTTGTCTCCATATTTCTGCCTTTATAGACAATTAACAATTTGCTGTCTACAGCCTGGAGAACATGTGCAGATATTCCTGAACCATGTGTCCCTGGAGTTAAATCATTGCAAAATTACCCTGTAAAAGGTTTCAGTTTGTACTCCAGCACTTTCCCTCACTCAACACTAGATACTAATGTCCTTTACATTCTTGTCAGTCTAGTCAAAGAATAATGATCCTATTGCTTTAATTTACCTTCTCTGATTACTACCATCCCTTTGCATTCCTTCTACGAGTTGTCTGTCAGTTCTCTGGATGATTTTTAACAAAATATATCAATTCTTTCTGCACTTTCTTTCCTAGATTAAAATTATTCATGGGCATGTGGTGGGACTTGCTATTTAAGGCTGAACTGTGTGGCCCTTTCCTTCCTTTTTTCCTTCCTTCCTTCCTTCCTCCCTCCCTCCCTCCTCCTCCCTCTCCCTTCCTTCCTTCCTTCCTTCCTTCCCATCTTATTTATTTATTTATTTTTTGAGACAGAGTCTCACTCTGTTGCCCAGGCTAGAGTGAGTGCCGTGGCGTCAGCCTGGCTCACGGCAACCTCAAACTCCTGGGCTCAAGTGATCCTCCTGCCTCAGCCTCCCGAGTAGCTGGGACTACAGGCATGCGCCAGCATGCCTGGCTAATTTTTTCTATATATATTAGTTGGCCAACTAATTTCTTTGTATTTATAGTAGAGACGGGGTCTCGCTCTTGCTCAGGTTGGTTTCGAACTCCTGAGCTCGAACGATCCGCCTGCCTCGGCCTCCCAGAGAGCTAGGATTACAGGTGTGAGCCACCGCGCCTGGCCTTTTTTTTTTTTTTTTTTTTTTTTTAATTAGAGACAGTGTCTGATTCTGTTACCCAGGATGGAGCACAGTGGAACAATCATATAGCTCACTGCAGCCTTGAGCCTTGAACTCTTGGGCCCAAGTGATCCTCTTGCCTTAGCCTCCTGAGTAGCTGGGATTACAGGCGCCACCACCATGCCTGGCACATGCGTGTGTGTGTGTGTGTGTGTGTGTGTGTATTATTTATTTATTTTTAGAGATGGGATCTTGCTGTATTGCCCAGGCTGGTCTTGATCTCCTGGGCTCAAGTAATTTTCCTGCCTTGGCCTCCCAAAGTGCTAGGATTACTGGTGTGAGAGACCATGGCTGGCTGTGCGGCTTTTTTTATAATGTTACCATTTATTGAGCACATACTGTGTGCCAGGCACTAGACACAGTACTCTCCCTGCATCATTCATTTAACTCTTATCATATTCTTAGGAGGGGAACTACAGTGAGACATGGAGGCCTGAGGAGAAAAAGTCACTTTTCTAAGGCTAATATGCCAAGAGGATTAACACCAAGAGGATTAACTACCAGGTAATATTGTGCACAAGGAACAAGTTTGCAGTGTTAGTGAGAAAAAGATGATTCTACTAGCATGACTGGATAATTCGTTAAAATGTAATTTTTACTTTGGGCTCATAGTTGCCCTTCCAACTCCAAAGGCTTTGCCTAAGGGCCATTGCCTAGATGGAAATGAGCTGCCGAGCTCTATCTTCCTGGTGTGTGTGGCGTATGTTGTGTGTGTGTGTGTGCATGTTGTATGGCATGTGTATAGAATGGGCTGTGTGTGTGTGGAGGGGGTGTATGTTTTACACCAGACTTGTTGAGGATTATTTGTCGGGCCCTCCCAGGAAAGAGGCTGCAGGCAGAGGGCCGGGTATCTTGGGACAGAGGAGGCAGCTGTGACTGTGCAGGGGGTGCCATTCCCTCGGACAGGGAGGCCAGGCCAGTGGGAGAAGCCCTCTTGGGGGGTCCAGCTTGCTCACACTCCCGCGCGGCTGTTCACCCGTGGCCTGTCCTGGCTGGGAAGGTGTGTGTCCCTGCAGTGAGGGGTGTGGACAGGAAAATGGAAGACCTTTCCGAATATTCTGCTTGTCACTAGGCCCCTAGGACCGTGGAGAGCTGGAAGGAGGTTCCCATCAGGCTGGAGATTGAACAAAACAGCTGCAGAGTGGAGGGGGATTCGGACTCAGGTTTCATTTGCTTTCAGAAAAAATAGCAGACATTTCTTGTGTTCCCATGTTAGTGAGTGCAAGTTCATTTTTACTACACAGGGAGAAAATATCTTAGGCATATCTTACTAATGTAGCCAAGCTATTAATGAACAAAAAGATGCAGATGAATCAAATATTTTTAGCTCGGTGAGCAAATGAAGAAATGGGTACCAGACCACTAGGCAATGAGAGCTTGATTGAAGCTTTGCATCTGGTTCCTCTTGACCGAATTTGAGACCAAATATGCATTCAAGGTTTCCTGCACTTAATGTAAAATGCAATTTGAATTTCATGGGCCTCAGCTGAAGTTTGGCTTTAGTGATCCAACAGGCACAAAACCACACAAAGCTATAATGAGCTAGGCAGGCTCAAAATTTCTTTTCCATGTTATAAAAGCAATAAAATCCGCCTCTCAGAATGTTTGGAAAACAGACAATAGTTACTCATAGCTCCCCCCAATATAACTTTTAGCATTTTATTGGACACTCAGTGTTCTTCTTACAAAAATGAAAAGACTATTATGTAGAGGTGTATATATATTTGTATTTATATGATCATGAAAATATTCACACAATATAAAATGTGCACTCTGTTACTTCACAACATATTGTACATTTTTTCATGTTTTTATACATCATTATGATTATTGTTTTACTTCTCTCTTATATTCCATTGCACGTATATCTAGTTCCTTAACTATTCTCCCTTGGCGGGTGATCAGGATGCCACCTATTTTCTGCTACTAGCAATAATGGTGCAGCCAAAACCTTTGTGCATGAAGCTATGGGCCAGAAGGCAGGACCCTTCCCCGAGGCTTGGTGTTTCACACATGTCACCAAGCCGCTTCTGCAAGAGCTGTGCCCGTTTGCACCCCACAGAGCCTGTTCTGCCACGTGCTCGCCGTGTTGACCATTTGCCATGTCCGTGTCAGCCCTCACTCCCTCACTCTGAGAGTAACGGGAGATCACGCTGCCTCTCACCCTACAGGCCAACTGAGGTATCGGGGGCACCCAGCTGGGCCATGGTTTTTCTCTGATGTTCAATGTGCAGTCGCCTTCTAGAGTCTTAAATGGGAACGGACACAAAAGCTCTTTGAACTCAGCTTCCATTTAACCTCACCGTGATGATCAGATTTGTGTGTCAACTTGACAGATCACAGTCCCCAGTTATCCAATCAACCTTAGATATAGGTGTTGCCAGGAAGGGATTTTGTAGGTGCAGTTAAAGTCCATCGTCAGTTGACCTTAAGTAATGGGGATGATCCCATGTGACCCGGGCAGGTCTGGTTCAGACAGTGGAAAGGCCTCAAGAGCAGAGCAGAGGCTTCCTGAGAAGGGAGATTCTGCCCATGGACAGCAGCCTGGGCCCGGCGCCAGAGCTCCAGCCTGCCCTTCTGCGATGCCTGCCCAGCGGATTTGGGACCTGCCTAGCCAGCCCCCATGATGGTGTAAGTCACTTCCCTGTGATAAATCTCTTAATATGCATATCCCTCTTGTTCTGCTTTTCTGGCTGAACCCTGACTGATATGCACCCTGGCACCCTTGCCATCTGCCTCCTGCTTCTCGACCCCTCTCCCCACCACTCTCTGAAAGGACTTCCTTACATCCCATCCTCTGGTCCTTCCTGGGACCATGTGGATAGACACAGCACACAGAGAGAAAAATCAATTACTAATAAGGAATCATAAACCAGGAGGCTCTTTAAACTTTTTACTAGATTCTTCTCCATCCAATATTCCATTATAAAAATTTTCAAACTACAGGAAATTTGAAAATTTTATAGTAAACACCCATAACAATCTAGACCCTACCATTAACGTTGTATTATAGTCACTTCATCTGTCTAGCCACCCATATGTTCCTCTGCCCAGTCAATCCGCCTTTTCTGCTGCATCTTGAAGTGAATTGCAGACATTAATAGTCTTATCCCTAAGTACTTTAGTATGTCTATCATTAATTAGAATTGAATATTTATTTATAGCTCTTTTTTGGGGGGAAATTTCATGTCACAAAATGCTTTACTCCAAGTGTACCAGTCAAGGAGTTTGACATGCGCATCTACCCAAGTGACTTGAACTTCGTCAGTGGGCGTTTATGTCACCCAGAGTCCCCCTTGCTCCTCTCTAGTCAATCTCTGTTTCATTCCAGCACAAGCAACCAGTGATCTGATTTTTCCTCCATAGATTATTTTTGCTTGTTCAGGAAATTCATAAATATGGAATCACAGAGAATGTGCTCTCTTCTGTCTGCTTCTTTCAGTCAGCACAATGCTTTTGGAATCCATTCATGTTGTGTGAATCAGTTGTTTGTTCGGTTTCACAGTCGAGAAACATTTCATTGTATGAATATATCACAGTTTATTTATATTCTATGCATGGATATCTGGTTGTTTTTGTCTATTATGAATACAGCTGCTAAGAACATTCTTACATAAATCTTTTTGTGAATATATATTTTTTGTATATCTTGGGTTTATGTCAAGGATTGAAATTGCTGTTGTCATATGATAGGTTTATGTTTAGTTTTGTATAAAGCTGCCAGACCTTTCCTCAAAGTGGTTGAATCATTTTACACTTCCACTGGCAATGTTTGGGGGGCTCTGATAGCTCTACATCCTCACCAACATTTTATATTATCAGTCTTTTACTTTTAGCCATCCTAGTGCTGTATAGTAATATCTCATTTTGGTTTTCATTGCATTTCCCAGATGACTAATGATGTTGAGCTCATTTTCAAGGTTTAACACTCTTTTGATCATATGTTATCAATCACTGAAACATTTTCCACCCCCATTTTTGTGGAGAATCAGGGAAACCTAGTCAAGAGTATACTCTGAGATTCTATCTTGAGTGGTGTCTCTGCGAAGCAAAGGAAGAATTCCCAACTCCAGTGGTGATTGTGGAGCCAGAGAGGTCTTATACAAATGTCAGGTTCCCAGCAGTAGTGGCACCCTAAAAAGGCAATGGATCCCAGATCTGGAGCTGGGTGGGAAAGAGATGAGTAAGGCAGTCATTGAGGACCATAGGGCCAGAGAGGATCATGGGAGTCAATGAGGACCATGGGAGCCAGTGAGGATCATGGGGACCAGTGAGGATCATGGGAGTCAATGAAGATCATGGGGGCCAGAGAAGATCATGGGCGTCAATGAGGACTATGGGGGCCAATGAGGATCATGGGAGCCAGTGAGGACCATGGGGACATTGAGGACTGTGGGGACTAATGAGATGCTTCACCCTGAGATTTCTGGGTGTCTCATGTATCGGGGTTGCATAGGGATATCCTGGGCTGGGCTAACTACTTGAGACAATTTTCAAGTTAAAGGAATGGATTTTTTTTAATGAAAGAGGATGTGATCTTCATATAATAAACATATTGAACATTTTTGTTTTGTACTTACTGTAAACATTCTCCTTAGTCTATTGTTTAAGATTCCAACTTCTTAAATAGTCATTCCCTGATGTGGGGATATATGGGCTGGGATTATCATGATGGTTATCAGATGTTTATGGGTAATTTAATGGGCAACCTTTAATGTGTCTGTCATTCTTCTGTTACAGACAACTATGGTTAAGTGACGGTTTTAACTTAGAGAAACGTGACACAGACATCAGGAAAGACAAAGAGGCTCGAAAGCACAACGTCAGGCTGAAGATAGTTGAGTCGAGCACTTGGGCTGAACATGACTTGCCTTTCCAGGTACTCTAAATCATTTGCCTACAGAGGAAAATCGGCAGGAGCTGATGAGTGGTGCCCCCTGCCCCAAGCAAAGCAGATCACGCAAAGCTGGATTTTCACAGGAACAGAAAGAGGGGTGCTTTTATATTTTAAGCCACTTTTGTTAGATAAGAGTTCTCTAGAGAATTTATTCAAATTCCAAGTCCTTCTCCAAACAAAACATAATTTGACTGTCAAAAATTTGACTCAGTCAACTGATTCCACTGGGTAGACACAGTCTCAGAGAGAGAACGGGGCCTCCCTGGTCACCGTGGTGCGCCCCCTCCCCAGGAAACATGACAGCATGAGCCAACAAGCATGCCGGGGCCTCCCTGGTTTGTGCTGGTCCTGTGTTCTCTGTGGCTGGGCAGAGCCATATGGGACTCATTGAGTGTCCTTCTGCCTTAGTCTTGGCCACACCGAGGTGACTGGGGGAATCTGTGACTAGTGAATGAATGAATGACACTGAGGAGCTCATAAAGCTGTGGGAACTGTACAAACAGGGCTGCAAGCTTCCCAGGAAGTCCCTAATTAATCCTTTGAACCCTTCCAGTCAGCTAGGGTGGCAACTCACAGTACCCCAAAAAGACTGTGGCAGGGTAGCAGGGACAGCTGTAAGGTCAGCTGAGAGGGTGGGGTGGAGCTGATGGGGAAGAGGTCAGTGAGATCCTGTCCTTGACCTGGAATTGTCACCCCACCTGGTTTGGTCTTCTCATAGCCTATAAGCCACCCATGCCCTCTGGTTGGACATCCTGCTATCCCAAGACAAAACAACTCACAAGAAAAGTCATAAAGCACCTATTTTTCCTAATCTGTGCCCCACTTTGTATCCCTTTCTGTATCACCTTACCCATGCCAGTGTACAGCATGCGGGCTCTAGACTCAAGACCCAGCTTCATATTAGCAAATAATTGGGCCTGTGTTGTCAAGGAAAAAGGTATTCCTTTCCTTGCTGAAGCATGGTGGGGCAGGCTTTGACAGCCGCAGTAGGAGTAGGGATCACGGCAATGGGGTCTTGCAGTGGGGGGAGAGATTGAGCCCAACTCCAAACACAATAAGGAGAAGTGGGAATCTGCAGCCAAGGAGCAAAGCCTGGAGGGGAGGTCACTGGAGGAAAATGACGAAGAGGAAACATCAGAAGTGAGGAGGCTTCTGGCTCAACCTACCTTACAGCGTCCTTGCTGGAGCCGGGCCAGGGTGAGCAGACAGCGCCTGGCGTGGTGGGGGATGAGGGATTTGGTCAGATGTTGTGGGTGATCAGATGATTGAGAGTGGGAGGTTCTGGCAAAGCCAATTTAGCAAGATTCTTCCTAAAACTGGACAGTGCCGAGATGAAAACGGGAGTCTAAAAGTCAGGCCTAGTTGAGAAAGGGTTTGGGGGTCCCAGTAGAATTGGGTCCAGGAGACAATGTCAGTGTTTTCTCACAAATGGAATGAATGAGTTGAACTAGAACAAAGATTTGTATTCTAAAAACTCTGTGATCCTTTTGCTGTCCCTGTAGGTCCCTTATTTCCCCAACTAAAGTGGTGATCTTTCAGGGCAAGGACCTTGGCCTCCCCACGTTGTTTCGCAGCACAGGGGCACTCAGTGCACACTTGTCAGCGGGATGGAGACCCATCCTGGCTTCTGATGAATCCAGCTACTGGGATGATGGGGAAGCTTCATAAGCATTTGTTTCTATTTAAAAGCGAATAAATGATTAGGAAGAAAAACTCAGCTGACATGGGAGAGACAGCAGCAGTCTGACAAATGCACCTTGGGACATGGCACGGGTAAGTGTGGCAAATGGGTTTGGATTAAAGCCGCTGCCTCCTACCAGTGTTAGCCCATTCCCTAGAGAAACGTGTTATCACTGTGGTTCTTGCTTTGCTTCTCTGTCTGGAGAAGTTTCAGTCACATACCGAAGTAGAGAGGATGACACAATGGATGCGGGTGTTGCTGCTGTAGCAGAGGCCACAGTGCCCAGCCCTGGGTCTCCCGAGTGCCCTGCAGAGTCCTTTCAGACGCCGGGGGCCCGCCCGCTGGGGGCAGCCTGAGCTCAAGGCAGGGAGTGGCGTGCAGTTGGCAGACTGCTGCTCCCTCCCACTCAGGAGATGGCCCACGGTCCCACAGTCCCTCAGAGCATCCAGGTGCCCACTCCTTAGCCCCAACATTTGGCTTCCTTTTCTGCTCTGCCTTACTTCCTGCCTCCCTCATGTGCTTCCGGGTCACCTCCTGATTCCTGTGTCAGAGTCAGCTTTGGGGAACTCACACCAAGACCAGGCTAGACTCAGAAATGAATCACGATTTTGCCACGCTTGCTTCATCTCTTCCCCTTCTTCTGCAATATTTTAAAACAAATCTCAGACATCATGAAGTGACATTACATTTATGGATCTACTCCAGGGGAGGAAAAACTGGGACCCCCTCCTTGATCTCTCCCCACACGCGTTTCCACAGGCTCGTTCACCTCTCACGTCCCCTCCCTCGCCCCACACGCGAGCCCAGATCCCCCTGCGCACCATCTGGAGACAAACTGGGAATGTGCCAACCCCTTTAGTGCTATTTTCCCTTTCACACATAAGCTCAGGATTTCAGGCTGTGGGCAGGTGTGATGCAGAATGGCAAGGTTCACTTCAGAGAGGATCTTTCATGAGACCAAAGACACGGAGTTGGGAAGGGGGTCAGTCCTCAGCAAGTCTCGTCCAAACGCACCTGCATGGGTGAAGGCAGCTGCTGTGCCGGGCCAGTGGCTTCAGAGGGCGCCGTTCGTGGGCAGCTCCCTCAGTTGCCTGCATCGCTGCGTGTGACACGGCCTCGCCGCCCAGCCGACCCGCCGCAGCCTCTCTGCCTGGCAGGCTGCGGTGCGGCGCCATGAGGGGAGGCCGGTGGCTTTCTTTCTCTCGACAGAGTCAAGCAGCCAGTTTCCAGAGAAAGGACCCTCACATTTTGTCTTGCTTTGGTAGCGAGAGGGCTGAGGGTGCACTGGAGGCCTCAGGGTGCTTTGATGGGTGACACAGACAAGCCTCCCATCAGCCGCGCCCCCACACGGCGGCCTTGAGCACGGGGAGGCTGCTCTCGCTGCTGGGCCGGGCACTGACGTGCGGACTCCGAGCAGAAGCCCGTCTCGCTGTGGCTGTGGAGCGAGTGGCTTCGCTGTGGACGCGCTGATGCGCATCCCTCGCGGAGACAGCCTCGCCTTTCCAGCCCGCAAAGCCCGCTTACCACCGGCCCACCGGGAACCACCTGCCGCTGAGCTGTCCGGCCTGGAGACCGGCTCCTGCGGGAGAGCCGGGCCGGCGCAAGGATGGGACAAAAGGGATCGCCGCCGTCCTGCGCCGCTGGCCTGCTCGCTCCAAGTCCCCTGCAAATAGGTGGCTCCATCTCTCAGAGCACGGAGGGCGCTGGGGATGAAGCCGGCCCAGATGTGTGCTCTTATTTGAGTTTCACGAGAAACCAGGGAGGAAGATAGCGAAGATAAGCTTAGAATCTCCTCTTTACAATTGGAGAAACTGAGGCCAGGGCTGGATGTGCCTCATTAGTGGTGACTGACTTGGTCACAGTGCTGTGAGTCCGTGCATGGCATCTTTTTATCAACTTCGAAATGTGAGCACTCGGGAGCCAGGACAGTATCCAGCCACTTCCTTGTCTCTCGCAGCCTGGAGGGGCGCTGTGTGCCGGCTGGGGAAGCCACCCTGGAGTGCGGTGGGCGCGGGGGGCGCACTGGCTCGGGGCGCTGCGCCTTGGCGCTTTCCCTCAGAGGCCTCTGAGCGATGCCACGGGAGGTGAAGCCGGGAGCCGGGGAGACTCTGCTGAGTTATGAGCCCTTATTTGGAACATGTCACCCGACTCACAGTGCAGCGTGGGAAGCGAATCAAAGCACGGCTTCCCAACACAGAGTTACTGACAAAGGCGGGCCAGGGTGGCCACGGGCTGGCTGAGAATCTGGAAGCCGCCCCGGTGCCAAATGTGAGAGGGCCAGCGGTGTCTGGGGCTCCAGTGGGTGGCAGCGGGGGCACAGGAGAAGCCTCCCGTGGACAGAGCCCGACCCTAAAGGCGCGGCACACCCCCTCCTGCTGCCTGGTCCCAGCCCCACCGGCGACGGTGCTGGGGGCGACGGTGCTGTCCTCCCAGCGGCGGACCCAGGCGGAGAGCCTGCTGGGAGCAAGGTACGAAAACAACAACAACACAAGCACAGGACTGTGGAGAAAACTCTGAAGGGAGACTTAAATTTAAAAAGATGTTCTGTTACATCAACCCTGTCCCCACACAGCGCCCGGGACAATTATTTGAAAGCAAGTAAATAGAGTCTGTGCATGAAGTGCAGTTTAACGAAGTTCCGTTGTTTTGGACGGAGGAGAGACTAAGACCTGGAGGTGTGGGGGTAGGGAGAAGGGCATGGGAGAGAATCTTCTGGAAGGTGTGGCCTTTCTTATATGCCATTTTCTTCAACACTTTTTGGCTCATGGCTATCTTTCACTCAGATTGCACTCAAAAAATAAGGTTTTAGCACAGAAAAACACTTTAAGGTAAAATAAATGGTGCAAACCAGTGTGCATGGGAGACTCTAGCCCCAGTTGGTGGTATTCAAACACAAATAAAATGTTTGGGTTCAGCCATCATGGCCGCCCAAACTGCTTCCACATGGTATTCTCTGTCTGGAAACCAGTTGACAAAATTGGTGGATGTGTGTGTTTTTGCTCAAAACTACAATGTTAAAAATCTCACACATATTAATTTAGTAAGTTTTAAGGTGAAAAAATCATTATAGCAAAAAATAAGCCATCGTCCATAGGCAGCCTCACGTTCTGAGCCATGACTGGATGCCGTGTGTGGCATGTCTGCGGGAGCGGCCCTGTGGTGACAGAGAGGTGGCTGTGTGTGCGCAGGCTGCATAGATGGGGCGTCCATCCCAGGTAATGTGGGAGTGGTGGCCCCTGGACTCGGGGTTCTACTCCAACCGGAGGTGACCCATTCTCCTCCTTGGCAAAGCTGCACTTCTCTTAGGGACAAGGACGAGGCAGGCTCTGCCCATGGCCTCTCTGGTGCTTGTAGCTGGTTGGTTTCCTTCCCCAGCAGTCGGCTCAGAATCCATCTGTGCTCACCTAGTGACGGAGGGAGGGCCACCCTGGCCACCGGGCCACCCTGGCCACGCGGTATTTCAACTTCCCGGCTCTCTTCTCACCTTGGGCTTCTGTTTTTCTGCCTTCCTAATTTCTCTATCTTTGGGCCTATCCTATTGTGTTGAATGTATTTCCTTAAGCCTCTTCAGTTCATTTTAGAATAAGGCAGAATAGAGGTAGAAACAACTTGCTGCCAGTTTGCATGAGAGAAAACATGAAAAGGAAACAAACGTCTTATTTTGGTTTTGGAGGCTTCCATATTTTATTAGGATTTTAGAACAGTCTTTTAAAAAGTCACTTCATAAGCTTTCTGTTGTTCACCAGTGTTTGGCTAGCCATTCAGTTATGACATATGTAAAGAACTAGGAACAAGCTTTCTTAAAGTCCAGAAAGTGGAAATACAGGAGCAAAAGTGCAGGGAGCTGAATACATAGACCAGAGAGGAAGGGGAAACTCTGGCTTTGCCTTCAAAGCTCAACTTCTTTGGCTCGCATACCCTTGGAGGGTGGCAGGTGCGGTGAATGAGTTCTGTGGATCTAAGGTACAGCACGGTGACTAGAGCTAACAATACTGTGCTGTGTATTTGAAATCTGCCGAGAGAGATCTTAAGTGTCCTCATCCCCCCCAGTGTAACTATGTGAGGTGATGGATGTGTTAATTTGATTGTGGCGATCATTTTACAATGTATGTGTACATCAAATCGTATATCTTAGATATATACAATTTTTGCCTGTCAATTATACCTCAGTATAGCTGGGAAACAAAAACAAAAAGCCAAAAAAAAAAAAAAAACAAAGGAAGAGAAGTTAGCATTGTCCCTGGCAAGCGGCAGTAACAGGAAGCTGTGGCCGATTCCCGGGAGGAGCGGCAGCAGCACGGATAAGAAGCCGTGGCTGGGAACAGCAAAGCACGGCAGCGTCTCCCGGGCGGCCTCGGGAAGCAGAGAGCCTGCGGTAGCAGCTCTGGAGAACGAGCCGCATCCAGCACAGAGCCGGGGAAAATTCTCGTTGTATGGGACTAAGGGCTTGTTTGCACCATCTGTCCTTGACAGAGTATTCTCAATTTTTCTCTTGATTTGAATAATCTGCGGTATCCATTTCCCAGCACAACCATGCAGCCTCGTGAGAAAACAAACGCCTGCCTCCTTCCTGGAACTGGCCCAGAGGCGCCGGCCGGCCCGGGCAGCATCTCTGGGGCCCCTCCTGCTCTGTTGTACCCCGCCGGCCTGTGCCTTCCCCGGCTGCACATGCGACAGCCCCCTGAACTCTGCCCTGCTCCGTCGTCCTTGCGGGATTGCGGGCGCTCTGGGCCCCACGGAGCCCCGCGGGAATGCGCCCCAGGAGCTGACTGGGGCGCACAGAAAGGAGAGCGCTCACTTGAGGTCGTGTCCTTCCCTTCCCTCCCCTCTTGTGGCTGGCGCAGGCACAGGCGTCGGCTCTCCCAGGCCTCTGCGGAGCAAGAGCTCGCGGCTGCTCAGGCTCGTCCTGGGCCGCACGGAGGAGAGGCCCTGCGCGGGCAGGTGTCGTCCAGTCCGGGTGAGGAAAGCCCGCTGGGGTGACAGCTCTGGCACGCGGTGTGGCATGTCTGGAAGCCCTGTGCTTGCCTTTCCCAGGGAGGGCTGGCCACCGTCTGCCAGGGCTTTGTTAAGGGACTTCCTCCTAATGGTGAAAGATGGAACTAAATTACCTTAAAACTTCTAACTCAAATTTTAAAAGTTGATTTTGTGCAAGTACCTACGCTTACAAAGAAACGAACCATAGAAATAATTATTTTTAATAGAAACAGAGAGATCACTGGCATGGCAAAACTTTAATGGTGGCAAACAAAGGCCTTAAAATATATTTGGGAACAATGAAAAGATTCACCCTCAAAAGATAAACCCGTTTGAAAGACATTGCTGGAAGTTTGTGGTATCAAAATGGAGAACATGTCCCTACCCTTCTGGGGGTTTTGCCCATAGAACGCAACCTGTGACGAGATCCCTGTCCTTTTCGTGTAGAGCATGTGCTCTGTGACTTATTTTCGGTAAGTTTCCTGGGAAAATTGTAATTTTCCTTCTAAAGTAGCAACCTTTTAAGGTCTAGTATTTTATTATAACTTATGGTTAAAACTATTTTCTATGGGAACAAATGTCTGATTTTATCATAGAAATCAACGCAGAAATAGGGCTTTGTTTACTGGAATTTACTCTGCAGGCTGTGGAGCAAAGCAAATCCCCCAAGCCAGCTGGAGAACCCCGCACGACAGCGTTGGCCCCGGCGTGCCTGTGGTGCCCCTGGCACAGCCTCTCCGCAGCGTGGCTGCCGGCCAAGCCTGGACCCCTGTGCAGCGTGGGCCGTGAAGGCCACACAGCTTCCTCCAGATGCAGAGGCGTTGCCTCCCTCACGAGGCAGCAAGAACGGGCTTGGGGTTTCCTCTGGGTAATTTCCAGTGTCTTTGTTGAGAAAGGACATAATTTGAAGAGAACAGGTCAAACTAAGCTTTTAAGAGGACTTTAAAACATCCCAAATTAATGCTTCCATCAGACACATCTGTCCACCAGGACATGCTGGCACTTCAAAGAGGCAATTCCCATCAAACCTCCTTCCGACCGTGCGGATGGGGCTGGGCGGCAACGTCCCTCTCGCCAACAGAAGCACTTGGGACTCCCTCTCCCAGGGACCGTCACCAGAGACTGCTCGCCGGGAGCTCTCTGTCTCGGCATGTCTGGAACTCAAAGGAGAGCCCGAGAGAGTTCACACAAGGGACGTCTGGAAACACGGGCTGTTTTCAAAGCTCGCACCGCTTCATGTCCGGCAGTCCCTCCCCCCTCCCCATAGTGTCCACGCTGCAGACTCCAAGAGACAAGCAAGAGAGGCCTGTCACAACCAATTGTTGCCATCCCAGGGCCGCAGGGCTCGCTGGTGTCAGCAAGCCTCTCTGTGAGCACCGGCTCCCTGTCCCTGGCCCCACACCTGGGGCTCCCCACCTGCTGGCCACAGACAGCCGCCTCAGGCTGGGCTCCCAACTCTGCCTCCCGCGGCCAGAAATGAGCAGCTTAGATCTGCAGCCCGCCCTGCAGAACGGAGGCAGCCGGGGCTGTGATGCCCTCATTTTGTAAGCTTTATCTATTTTTTTTCTCATTGCAGAATGAATGTGTTCTTATTAAAAAAGAAAGTTATGAAAATAAAAATATGAAAAGAAAATGGGCTGCACTTGCTCTGGCCGACCTCAGTCACCACTCTGTGACCCTGCTGGCGCCCCTCCAGGCGCTGAGAGCACAGCCTGGATCCATCGCCCGTCCGCGCTCCCCTGCTGCTCTCGCTCTGCCCTCTCCTCCGTGCTCACCTGGGCCGTGGCACTTGCTATCCTGTGTGTGGGATGTGAGTCTTGCATTTCCTTGTGCCTGGCTCCTGCCTGCCACCCTGGCCCTCTCCACATTAGCTCTGCAGAGAGAGGTCCCCATGCCCTTCCCATCCCTCTCTCTGCCTTACACCACTTCGCGCTCTGAGCAGACCTCCCCGCTGTGTGCACTCTCCGCCCTCGTCTCTCTTACCTGCTGGCTCATTCCAGCCCCAGCTAGAGGAGACGCAGCGGGGTCCGGCCTCGTCTCTCTTACCTGCTGGCTCATTCCAGCCCTAGCTAGAGGAGACGCAGCGGGGTCCGTCAGTTCCTCAAGGTCACTCGCCAGGGTAAAAGATGCGACAATTTCTGGGACATGTTGAGTTGTTCTCTAGAGAGTTTGTGTCAATTTATACTTCCACCAGCACAGCCTGGCTCTTGCCTGTTTTCTCCAGCCCTCGCGAGTCCTGCGGGGAACTTGACCCGGTTCCCAAAGCTGTCTCTCGCCTCAGCCTCAGGTTGGCATTCACCGTCTGTGCCAGCTCCCCGTTACCCAGGGCGTCAAATATTAACTCTGTGACTGATCCACTCACTCCTCCACTTCTTTTCAAAGTCAGTCTATCATCACGCCCTCTTCCCCCAAATGTCCGTGAAGGAGATCAAATTTCTCAGAAGGAAGCAGTTGCCTGTAAGAGGCCAGTGACCCTGCTAGGTTAAGCTCCGGCCGATGGCCGCTTCTCGCCTCTCGCGAGCGGTGTGTGCGCGGTGCCGCGTGTATGTTTTCTGCTCTCATCTTCACAGCAGCCTGGAGACAGAGTTACTGCGATACGTTTCCTATTTTGCAGATGGAAACTCTGGTTTTTGAGCCACCTACAAACCAAGCGCGTGAACCGGGATTTGAGTTCACTCTCTGACCACACCACGTGCTGCCCCGACGTGTAAACGGGCGGCCCCAAGCGTGAGAGCGCAGTGCTGGACACGAGGCGGCCCCTGTCCTTGCGCACTCACGCCGGAGGAGGGAGGAACGGCCTCTGCTGAATCCTGGCAAGCCTTACTGCAGCTGTAGTAAGCACAGAAAGGGGGAAATAGAGAGGCCATGAGCATAAAGCAGGGCTTGGGGACTGTTCTGGGTTTCGGGATGGCTTGGAGAGAGGTGCGTGGGGGGACTGGGGTGCTCCGGCCGCCCCAGCACCAGCACCCAGGCCCAACTCAATTTTGCCACGAGTGACCCCAAGCACGGCCAGCAGAGGTCAACCCACCACGAGAAACACACATTATTGTTATTTTTTGAGACAGCGTCTTGCTTTGTTGCCCAGGGTAGAGTGAGTGCCGTGGCGTCAGCCTAGCTCACAGCAACCTCAATCTCCTGGGCTCAAGCGATCCTTCTGCCTCAGCCTCCCTAGTAGCTGGGACTACAGGCATGTGCCACCATGCCCTGCTAATTTTTTCTATATATATTAGTTGGCCAATTAATTTCTTTGTATTTTTAGTAGGGCTGGTTTCGAACTCCCGTCCTCGAGCAATCCACCCGCCTCGGTCTCCCAGAGTGCTAGGATTACAGGCGTGAGCCACCGCGCCCGGCCCTACATTATTGTTTTTAAGCCACTAAGTTTTGGGGTGGTTTATACACAAGGATAGAAAACCAAAATAGAATCCAATGGCTAAACAGAAAATTACACCTTATATTTTTGCCTGTGGTCACTTGGACTGAAGTGCTTAGTCGAGGCAATGCTTTTGTAGCTAATCCGCCACCTCGGTAAGACAGAATACAGAATATTAGCCATTCAAGGCCACTAGGTCTCTAATGTAGGATGATTTCATTTACTGGCACTTGGACAGATGGAAAATATAGTAGTTCAAATCCTAACGTATGTCCCCAAACCAGGGTCTTACTTACAGACACAGTCGAAGACACCTTGTTGGTCCTGTCTCTGGAGAACCTTGACCAAGACGACAGCGAAGCCAGGCACGTGAGCGGGCTTGCTGAGGCGATGCCGGCACGCCCTCTCCAGAGAGAAGGACGCTTTGCTGGCCGTCACACCCGTCACCAAGAAGGAAACAGTACTTGCTCAGCTTCTTTAAAATGCGGTGGCAGCAGACACCAAATTAGGGCATGTGAGTGGCTGCCCGGGGGACAGATGTGTGCGGTGTCGCAGGCCCGGAGGCTCTCCCGCTGGACCAGCGTGGAGACGCTGCGTGGCCAGGTGGCTTGGGGTCCTGTTTGGCCCCATGGCCCCACAGGGATGGCAGCGCCGCCCCACAGCATGTGGCGCACAGTGGGCCTGTTGCAGCTTGGTGGAGGGCGGTTCCACAGCTGTGGGGAGCTGAATTCTGCCAGCAGCCATGAGAGCTCGGAAGAGGACCCCAAGCCTGACACCCCACCCAGCCCCGCCGGTCCCTTGACTGCAGCCTTGTGAGACCCTCGGCAGAGGATCCAGCCAAGCGGTACCCAGGCTCCTGACCCGCAGAAACTGTGAGATAATAAATGGCATTTGAAACCACCAACTTTGTAGCAGTTTGTTATACAGTGATAGAAAAATAATACAAACTCTAATTAAGCATGCGGCCTTGGTCGCTGATTGGGCTTCCTGTGTCCTCTGAGTCATCTTTCTTTAAAGTTAGGAGTGTGCATACGCAGTCGTCAGGCGGTGGCGCTGGCAAGCACATTGGCTTGGTCACACCTGAAGGCATCACTCCTGTCTCTCTCTCCTCCCCCGACCCCCTCGAAAGCTGAGGGGAGCCAGATACTCTCTCTCTTGCCTTCTGGAAGCTGAGGTGGGGTAGAAAATCTAGGCTGGGCCGACTGGCAGCTCCCACTGAGGCTGTTGATCAATGACTCAAAGATGCTGGGTCACTCAGAGACTGTTCCTGGGGGAGACGGCCGAGCCACAAGGGTGGCCATGTGGTAGGGGAGGCTGTGGGGGCAGCAGTGACATCCCAGGGCAGGAGACCCCCTCATGCACCCTTGGCTCTGGCTGCCCCTCTCTGCCTCTCTGCTCTCACTGTATTCTGAGCCTGGCTCTGCAGCGCTCTGCATTCCACGGGTCATCTGATGACCCCTCCAGCATGGTGCCCAAGTCGGACGCTGTCTGCCTCCGAGACCCGCACTGGTCCATTGATAGATGCGGGTCCCTCCTTACCTTTTCTTCTCTATGCGTCTCCTCACTTGAGCTAATCGGAATTTATCAGTGACATCTCTCCAAGTATGTCCTGGTGATCTGGTCTAAAATGAATGCCAAAACAACCCAGGGACCGAGGGATTTCGGTGCTGGCCGAGACAGCCAGTGGCTTTGCCTTAGCCGTGTGTGCCCTGGTGAAGCTTGCCCGTGCAGCCCGCTCTGCTCACGCAGGGAAGGGAGCAAAAGCTTGCTGCTTACTGTTCTTTCTTCTTCTTCATCTTCAGGGCTATGTCTGAAGAGTAAGTAATATTTCTCCAAAAGCAGAGGAACAGCAGTGTCCTCAGTGTGGAGTGGACTGTGACCTGAGTGATATGTGTTAAAGAAATACATTTCTAGAAAAGATCAACAATGTCCTCTTAGTGAAAAGAAATTGCTAGTAGTTTAGTATCAGAGATGAAAGAAGAAGGTACTATATGCATGGAAGGAGCGCCTCCCACCCCCACATGCTGCCCACATTGGTTACAAAGCTTAGGGCTGTCCTGTGCATTCTAAATGGCCCCCTCCCTGGGCCCCCACACTGGCCCTGGACCACCGCAAGGGCACGGAGGAGCGGCTTTGAGGGGCACCAGGGAGAAAAGCTGGCTTGTTATTTCCATTAGTGCTTCAGTAAGTCCACTTTCTCTAAAGGGCTAGATAGTAAATATGTTGTATGAGCAAGATTTTTTATGGGAATATTTTATCATTGACATTGCTTAGATGCGTTGGCACAGGATAATGATAAAAAGAAGATGCATGCAAGGTCACAGTTCTGATGAGTGCAATGTGCAGCTCAGGGGAGGAGAAATGTTCACTTAGTCTGTGAAATAGGTAATAGAGTTTACCTCTAAGCGAATGCTAGAATGTCAGCAAAGGGCATAACCGAGAAATGGATTTCAGAGTGGTGTCATTAAGTCACAAATATAGCCCAGACTCTGAGTCAGAACAGCCAAGTGCTGAAGTCTTGTGCTAAAGTTGGAAGTCTGGAGCTGCTTGAATTTAGCTTCGCCTGAAGCCCAGGGGACCACCAAGAGGTGAGGATCCCCGAAGTCCACGCCCAGATGCCCTGGGCACCATGACTCTGTCTGACTTTGCAAACTTTCTCTTACCTGGAGCTTTGACTTATGGATTAAAAACTCAATCAAAAGAGAAATTTCTTTTCTCAGATAAAAGAAAAAAAGAAGGGTTCATAACCAGTTTTATTTAGTGTAGTACACTAATGGATATTATAATACAGCAGGAAGGTTGGATGACACTGTCATTTCTCCCATTTGATTATTATTAAACACTGCATTCACATGAGAGCGTTCATTAGTCCCGCAGAAAATCTTATTTGGTGATGTGAATACCAATGATAGGAAGAGAGACTGGCATGGCAAGGGGATTGCAAGGAGGGCTAAGAAATGGCTTGTATTTATATGTGAAGTCTGGCAGCCTTGCAGGTGTGTAAGGATAGAAGCTATGCTTTTGTTAAGTGCTTCGTAGAGTGGAGCCAGACAAAAGCTTTGTGGCAAGGGTGACTCTCCTTCATCAAGTTTCTGGTCCCTTGTGCGGGGTGGGGAACATTCCCACTCCTGGCTCCCCGCCTGGGGCACAGGTGGGTCGTGCCCCTGCTCCAGGGCCTTTCACCTCTCCAAGTGCGTCTGACTCGCTTGGCCTCGCGGTGGATAAGAGGCGCTTTGTCAAAGTTGTGCCTCATTTGCCACTTCAGAGCATCGCGTCTGTTGACATTGCAAAATCGCAGAAGGATTCGACAACAGGCCTTTTCAGAATGTTCACCATGAATGGACAAAGGACAGTCCTAAGTGGGTCAGCAGCTGCCCTGCAGAGTTTTCCGGGTGAGGAATCGCATCTGTTTACTCAGCCTTCCTGTGACCTCCCCCCTGCTCACCGGCCACTGAGCATCTCTCCCTCAGCGCCCAGCGGCTGCTCTGTCCTGGCGATGACACACTGCGTGGGAGGTTCCGGGAATGGCCGCTGACTCTTCCTGCTCTGTGGCATTGGTACAGAGTTAACTTGTCAGTTGTCGGGGAGGTCCAGAGAGCCGCCAAGTCGTGCGCAGTGGGCCTAGGCCAGCGGCCAGAGCACAAGGCAGTCAAGCCTTCGTGCAGCTTCTGTGTCCCTCCTGCCCCTGTCCACAGGGGCAGCTGCACCCACAGAGAGCCATTTCTGCGCCCCACTGGTACTTGTGAGGGCCTGGTGGGGACTGGGAGGGCCGGGCCTGGGCCGGTGCCGGGAGGTGGAGCTCAGTGCGGGCTGGCCAGTGCATGGTAGGCGTGGGGCTGGGGGCGGTTCCCATCCCCAGGGGCCAGAGACCCCAAGGGGAAGTGCCTGGAGGCTGCACTACGTGAGCCCAGCTGCTGCATGGAGCAAAACCTTCCCCCAGTTAATTTGCCCAGAAGAGTGTTCTGGGAGGTTGAGAGGCTCCACAAATATCATACTAGTGACATGGGCAAGGTTCCATTACGGGACTGGAGGGCAAAGCTGTTGCTCTTGCATGATGAGTCACAAAGCCACACTGGTTTGGTTTTCTAACAGCAAATTATTTATGATTAACCATCCTTTGTCATAAAGATGTAAATAAGCAATTCATGCCAGAAAGGGAAACACCAGTAACAGAAGTCTAACCTTACCTGAAATCAAGCTAATTCATATTAAAACAAATATTCATTTGATTAAATATT